GGTTGGAGCTCTTTGACTTCGTTTGGGACCAGCCCGAGGACCGAGATCCGAAATCCGAGGAGTTTTTCCACACCTACAACTCGGGGTATTCGCCGTGGGTTTGTGAAAGGCAAACTGAACGAAATGTTTGGGTTTCCGGTTTGACTTGTTGAGGTTTTATTTGCATGCGAGCCCAGCTCCCGACCGCCGATTGCGGGGAGAATATTGGAATACTTAATTATTCCCTATTGGCGTTCATACATTTTATTCTCGCATTCACGCAATCCACGCAACTGACCCCAGATCGCAAATCAAATTCTGCCGTAATGGCCATTCCCTTTCAGCGAGATTTCCCTGGATTTACGTGCATCCGACCAAGTAGTTGGGCGGATTTTTGAAATAGCCCAATTGGGGTCAGCCACCCAGTGTGAGCTACACTTTTCCAATAAAAAATGATTTATGAATTGCCCAAACATTCTTAAAAAAAGGCATAGATTAGGGGATATATTTTATGGGGCCAAGACCTTAGTTTATCCTTGGCGCTTGTGGCACTATGAGTAGTTATATTCTCCGTAATTTTATAGTAGTGGATTTCAAGGGCAAACATAACATGCAAAATTAACTTATATTATATTCCATATTTTTATAGCTTACCTTGCTTAGAATTTTTTTATTAGATGTTGTTAGTTAGTAAGGAACATTAAAAATATAGAGAAATAATGCCTTTATTAATCATTAATTAAATGCAAATAACACAGAAGTTTTAAGAGAGAATTTCCGTTTGGAACGGAATAGGTTTTTTATTTATAATTGTGTTTTCAGTTCACAAGTTAGTAGACCCTCGATTAGCATTTACCATCTACACCTTTCATATTTCCATAGGATATGAAGGAAGTAAATAATGTACTTGAAGGTATAGCTTTATGGAATTTAATTCCTTAATTAATTACATATTTCTGTTGAAGCAACATTAATTAAAACTATTTTAATGTGTTTAGAAAGTACACATTCAAGGGAAACACTTACCCTTTTAGTTTGGAATTTACCATTAGTCAAAATTTGACTTTAATTGAGTTTTGCTACTATGTGTGCCTTATCTGCTAAGGCATAATCGTGCATCGAAATAGTCTATATAATATAGGTGCCAATGTCGCACGCCACATATTTCCTGGGCGTTAATTTGAGTGGCTCATACAATGGTGCAGAACTCACCTGCTCAAATGTTCGTGCCCACTCACATACCTACATATATCCACGGCAATTTACATACTTAAGTCATTTCGATTTATTCATGCATGGCACACAAATTTACGGGTAGCCCATCTAAATTGTTGCACACTGCGTTTTGGGGGGTCAATCGAGGACTCACCTCGAGGCTCGAGGACCGCCGACAGGACGTGTTGATGCGCGTGGATACCATGGATGTGGATGACGACCAGGAGCGCGGGACAGGTGGCGGCGGGACACGAGATGGACACCAGAGTGAGGATTCGGATTCCCGATGGCGGGCACTTGCACTCGCACTCGCACTTAAAGCCCGGCGAAAAGTTAAAATCGAAGTTGGCAAAGGGCGTCCGCATGGCGGGATTCCCGATCGCTTGTTCAGCACTTCGAACACTGACCAATATATTCGCGGCCCGATTCCGACTCCTCCGGTTCCTCCGATTTCTCCGATTACTCCGATTCCTCCGGTGCTCAAGTGCCGACTGTCAAAGCAAATAAAAATAACAAAATGGCCTCACCTGGCACCTGTATCCTGGCAACATTCATTAAAACACCTCCGAGCGGAGCGCCGCTCAACTTCAGAGCCGCGCCGAATTTGGCGGCGAGTCGTTGGGCTGGGCCCTGGATATATGGATATTAATCCATTTGCACTCGCGGCTCTGCATAAGACAAATCGGGCAGCGGAACCGATTTCTCGGCCAACTTGCGACGCTGCGAAACGAGCGCATTATTTAATAATACCGTTTGTTTATTGAATCGCAGTCAAAACTTTTGGCACAGACGGAAACCCAGCTCCCCTGGACTCCTCCGACTGCTCCTCCTCCAGTTCGCCGCAAGTTGGTGGGGTTGCTCGGGTGCTTTTTTTTTGGGTGGCACTGCACAGGAAAAATGCTATAAGATGATCAGCTTGATGATTTCATTTCAAATTTGCACTATGAAGCCCGCAATTTAATTTGATATGTTTAACGAAGCAAGAGCTTAATTTTTAAAAGTATTAAATTCATATTGAAATATTAAAATTATTTTGTTTTACTAATAAAATACATAAATACATCTAAAAACAGTGGTTTTTTGAGATGTAAGTGCGATTTGATTTTGTTTTCTAAGCCCTTATTTATTATTTTCACATACATCAAATTTAAAAAGTCCACAGGCCTAATCATCTCGCACAACCCCCTCCCCCGTCGATGACTACGTAATATATAGGCGACCCTAGAATGTGAGTCACTGTAGAATTGATCATGATTTAACATAATTCACATAATGCTAGAGTGATATGAAGAGAATTCTATTTCATAAACACTTCATTTTTCAGTGTACTGGGAGGGGGTGGTGCAGTCGTCGACGGCAACGGCGAAAGCATGGGCAAAGGCAAAGGCAAAGGCAACGCCGGCATGTCTGTCACACCCCGAAAAGTGAAATAGCTTCTGTCAATATTCTGTCAATAGGCACATGTTTTCCGCTGCCGAGTGGGTGGTCGCGGGTGGCGATTGCCAAACCAAACCGAAACTGGAGCCACGGGGGGCTATTGCTGCGTTTTCCCTTTCGCCTGATATTTAATCGATCTCCTGGCAATGAACATAGATCAATATTGCGTCCGAAAGTGAGTTCTTTTTGGGGGCTCGACCCATTTTTGGCACCAGTCCTGTGCAAAGCATTTATGTTTATGTTGGATTGAAAGACACAAACTGTATATACCGCTATTTGTAGCAATACATTAAAATTAAACTGAGTTCCAAAACAGGTAAACAATCTCGACTTAGCACAGAGTATGAAGTTAATTAATTTTAAAAACTTAGGAATTTTTCAAAACTATTAAATAAAATACAAACTTTTATTTAATCTTTCATAATTAGTTTGAGGCAGATGTTATTGCATTTTTTGTGCATAAGATAATCCAAATTGGATGTTTATTTTAGTTTCAAACATTTCGTTAACAAAAAATTTGCATTAAAACAAAAAGGTTTTTGTAAAATAAGTACTTTGTCTGCATCTCCAGTCTTCGCTAAAATATGTAAGATTCAACTCTATACCAAATAGCAAAAAAAGTTTCTGTTGCTACCCTTGTTTAGTTGCAAAATAAAGACGTCGTCGTATTTATCTGCATAAACTTATAGCGCAAAGTATCTCATCTCGCAAGGAAGGCAAAAACCCAACCGTCTAGGGTCAAGTAAGTACACTCAAGAGTGCATGTACGTACGAGTACATCTGTGTGGAGGAAGACAAGGATCTGGAGTGGCGACCAAGCGGACCCAGTCCACAGACTCTGGGATATGGGAACCGGCAGCTCCAACACTTTTCTTTGGCCGCTGGCCATTTCATCCATGCACCATAATTTTCAATAGCTATTCAAATTCTTTGAAGTTCTCGAGGTCACCTAACGGATGCAAGAAGGCATTGAAATTGATCCAGGCCATGAGCATCGCGTCGCATCGCAGTTGCCACTGCCAACTGCAAACTGCAAGCTGCAAGCTGAAAACAGCAAACTGTGTTTTGGCCACTAAACCGGATAGTCATAGTCATAGTCGTAGTCCCTTGCAGCTCTTTGTTTGTGCGCTGCGGCCAAGATGCATCATCACATCGGCCCAATCGCATCAGCCAGTATCCTATCCCGCGCATTTATCTGGCAAGCAATTCCAATTTCGTCCGTTACTGCGGCTATCCAAGTAATCACTAGTTTTCCAACCAATCAGGGGTTAAATTGCATCAAGATGCTTACTTAAAACAGAGTTGTTCTTATAAAAACAGCATTAAGCCGCTTGACTTTAATTAGGATGCCGAACTGCATTGCATTCCTCAACTTAATTAATTGTATATCCAATAAAATCCGCGAGTTTACTAGGTGCATTAAATGTGTTGTATTGCACTTTGCAAATGTTTTCAATGCAACAAGATCCTAAAAGATTTTTATATTACTTTCAGAGTTTTGTGTACCTGAGGTTCTCGGATTACCAAAGCTTTAGATTTGCAACTTAGGTCGTGGGATCTCATTAAAAAAAAATATGTGGGCTGGTTTGGCAAACCAGAAACTAATGAGCTTCCTTAAGAGTATCCCTATGATTTTTTGTTGGGAAAAAGTACTTTGGTATATAAAAAATCCTGACTTCCCGAGGAAATACTTGACTAAAAGCAATCAGTTTTTTGATGGAAACTTAAGTACTCGTATCAAATTACGAGCCAATGAGCGTATGCATGAAAAATAATGGGATCTCGTCCTCTCGCTTAACGGTGGTGCCGTTTGGGTAACGACCTTAAGAAGAACAGATGTTGGATCAGAGGAATTTGCATACTCGAAAGCAACTAAGCCGAAAACCTACCCAATATAAAGCCAGCTTGGTGTTAAGTATGAGCTCGAAATGAGCAAAGAGAAATGTAATGAACCAGTTCGCCCATGGTCGCATATCAGCATCCTGCAGAGTACTTCATTTGCGCCTGTGCCCAAGCTTCTTGGTCAGCTTCTTGGCTCCGAGATGCAAATGAAATATGCGCCGGCATTAAGAGCAAAATTACAAATTTCAGGCGAGGAGTGCGAGAGGCAGCTGCTTCTGGCTATGTCGATGGGTATGGCGCTGCCTTCTGCACGGTGGCCATTTCCTGGCATTTTAACTGGTTTTGTTTGACGGTGGTTACAATTAGCGGCTATTTAAATTGCCACGCATGAGCCGCTATTAATTACGGAACGATGGCACCGCAGCCGAAACCGAGAAAAAGTTGTTTACGCCTGGTATTCCAGGGGTTTGGGGGGCAGTCCAACCGTTAAACGGAAGCTCAAATGCCTTTCAAGTACCGAACGAAGTACACAGAAACCGAGATCGGGAAACTAGAACCCGATAGCCTGCACTGATTTGGGCTCGGGGGAAACATTTTTTATCAAACAGCAATTTGCACCTATCAGTCGATCCCCGATCAGTGTCCCTTTACTGGGGAGCTGTGCTTTTTATTTTCCCATGGCGCAATCACAACTAATGCACAGCGTATGGAGCCTCTAAATGTCGAATGAAGTCAGCGATAAATTCAGCTGGTTGATTAGCTGTTGGGGCAATAAATCCATCGCTTCACACCGCCACAAGTAATTGCCGACAAAGCGTCTTCGTCGTCGTCTTCATCTCCATTTCGACAAAAAAGCTCAGCTCTGCTCAGCGACTGGGGGACTCGGACTCGGACTTAGACTTGGGCTCGGGCTCGCGTCCAGTCCGTCCATCCATCCATCCATTCTCTGGTCTGGACTATCGGACTCTGAGTAAGAATGTGTGCCGGCCAATATTTTATCAAACCTGACATTTCCTCGTGTAGCTCCGATTATGGCCCGGGTTGCGACGAGGTCGCGATTCTCTGCGACCAGAGCGGCATTGATTGCCACTGCCCATGTGTATTTATTCCGCTGCTTATGTTTATGTTGACATTGACATATCTCGCGTCTTATCGGTTTGCAATAAGTGTACGCCGGGCCATCGCACAGGCAATGGCACTCCAGCAATGAGCCGGCATCGCTTTAACGTCTGTTCTGCTCGGCCAATGTCGCCACAGTCGTCGATATTGCCAGAGGTATTATGGCCGAGGACGCTGGCGACAACTGCAACTCGGATCGGACCCTCTTGTCTCGGGGAAATGGACAATGACCTGCCGCAACGAACGGGTTTGACCATTAGCAATATGTTATTAGGCAAACGAAATTAGAGTTGGAATTCTTCAAATTTAAAGGATTGTAATTTCATATTATTAATACTCATTTAAGATCACATTCCGTTTTGTTAAAGAAATCAGTGATCATTTTAATTACTGTCATTTTTCAAAATGTCATATTTATGAGATATTTTAAGTCATATTTTATATAGAACATTAATATTGACATAATATAGATTTTTCTTAACGGTAGCCTTTTATGCTTAAGTTATTTTAGAGGTAAGGAATCTCGTTCATTAAGGACGGATTAAAAATTTTGTACATTTTTTTTCAATTCAATTTGAAGCACCTAAGAGCTTTAGCTTAAAGTACTACAATTAGTAAATCATTTTCACTGACTACTAACAACTGAATGGCTATACCAAACATTAAGCCAATATCCTATTTATCAGTTTAAAACTAAGTACAATCGGTGGCCAATTTACTAATGCTGAGCATAAGAGGTTACTAAGTCACAACAAATATTTGAATATTCAATTAAAATGATTTAATTGCACCAGGCAGCATCAAATTGGCATTTGTTATAGAACCAGCGGGTCATCCAAGCGTTTTTCTTCGTCATGTTAGCGGTTTCTTCCATAATGTTAAAACTCTTTAGGTCATGCTGTAAATAAAATAATGGCTAAGTAGGAATTTTATCATATTTAGATACTCTACATACAATTTGTTGAGGAAAAATGCGCTTCATGTCAATGCGATGCAAGTGCTCCTCATGAGCGTTCTGTAGCATCTTGTACTCCGATCCACTAAGGCATTGTAAGCAGAGATCGCATTCCTCCTTGTTGCAGGACTTGTCGCAGTCGTAGGCAGCACATCTGTTTAAGTCAGTGGCCAAGTTTTTATCGGCCGTGATCATCTCATTGCTCTCACCAAACCTTTTAAATACATAAATACTTTGTAAAACTTATCGAATGGTTTAATAATATTTACTTACAAGGTCCCACTTGCTGCAGTGAGTGGCCGAATTCCTACTAAGTTAAAAACACTGTACAGAACTTGCTCGTACAAAAGTGAATTCGGCTTGAAATGTGCTGAAGAAAGATTAGGAGACATGTTGGCCTCCATGAGGAAAACCTTTAGATCCTCGTCAATAAACAGATCAAATCTCATCAGATCGAAAAAGTTGTGTGTCTTGTATGAGCGTAGAATATTGACAATGTCACTCTCCTTTGCCGCAATCGTAGTGCGGATTATGTGCTCGACTTGAGGCCATATCTTGGCGGGTTCCATGTCCTGATCACGGACATATGCTTCGAAAACGGTACGCATGCTCCCGCCAAAGCGATTGTAGTACTTTCGCAGCGAAGGGACCTCCCAGGTGGGCAGGTAGTCGTCCCCCACAATGTATTTGTCCACATTCTCGGCATCGAAGGGATGGTATTTCACAGGACAGTATCGGAACAGAACGTCGCCCGTGTAGATGTAGGCTCGCAAGGGATTAACCGAGGTGATGACTACATAAACTCCGATGTCGAACTTGTGGCCATCCACCAAAAAGGGTCTCTGGACGAACTCCTGGACAAAGGAATCGTTGGATCCGAATGCAATATCAGCCGGAGCTCGGACCTTGATGTGCCGGTGTTCGTTGTGCTTCTGGACGAAGAGTGCCCGCGGATTGTCCCTGGCGTAGTCCAGGAACTCCTCCCTCTGCGCCGGCAGTCGAAAGGCGCGTGGCAGGAAGGGCAGCTGACTGGTGCACAAGTCCACCTTGTTAGTAAGATAGCCGCAGCCCGGAAAGTGGTTCACCAACTGATTCTGGTCGAGATTCTTAAGGCTTGCGAAGGAGAGAAAAGGATAATCGTGGGCCCACAGGAGGTTCCAGCTCTCGTTGACGCCCACTCTTTGGTAGCCGAACATGTCCAGTACTTTCACCACATGCACCAGGTGCTCTTCTGTGGGGCTCCGTCCAAAGATCGCATACGTGGGCGGTGGCTGCTGCAGATCTTCTGGGGAATCTATGGAACTCCAGGGGAAAACTTTGCTGGCATGGGGCAGGAGTTCCACCACCACCGCTGTGGTTACCGTGGCCGCCAAGAATATCATAATCGGCAGCAGGCCAATGCTATTTGATGGCTTCCCGGCCTCCTCTGATTTGGCCAACTATAAAAAGAGAAAGTTTTTAGCTGCTCATTAAGGGAATATCCACTATTTATAGCCACACTTACTTTGCTTTCTGCTCCCGTTTGGTTAGGAACATTTTCCTCCACACTAGAATCCATCCTAAGTCTAGAAGATCTATTTTAAAATACCAATACCAGCGACTAATTTAAAACAACCTTTTAATCACGATCTCCACAGCAACCAAACTGAAATTCCCAGTTTGCCATTCAAAAGAATGCGCCAACGGGTCAGCTGTTTAACAATTTCCCTTTGATGGCGGGAGTTTGAAAGTGGTTGAATGGTAAGGAAAATTCGTAACGTTTATTCAAATATATTTTCTTAACTGAGAAATTAAATGGAAGCTATTGGTATTTCTTTAAGTTATATTATTAGTGTCTAAGACTACTGAAACTATAAGAAACTTAATTTTTGTAAAATTTAAGTGGCTTAAGGTTAATTTTTATGAAATATAATATATTATCTGTACTAAAGTTTATTTTACAAAATTTTATTTAAAAATATAAATATTTGTGCAATAAAAAACAGTTATTAATAAAAAACAAGAAAGAAGCAAACTTCAGCAAGCCGAAGTTTATATACCCTTGCAGTTATTACAAAAAATTTCGATTTCTATGCCTATATTACTAAAAACAATGAATCTTATGATTTTGCGCTGCATTTTGCCATCGTATTTATAGCAGCTATATGATATTGAAGTCCGATTTTGATAAAACTAAAAGCGAATTTCTAATAGTAAATAATTACTATGAATATTTTGATAATCAGAAAAGCAGCAAAATAAAAATTGTATTTCATCTTATTTTTTAAATTTTTTGATTTTCTCATGGGAGCTATATGATATAGATGTCCGATCGTTATTTATTTAAAACCGAAATTCCACAGTATTTAAATATTACCAAATCACAAAGAACAACAAAAAATTAAGAATAACAAAGTTATCCTTTCTTAAATTTTTTTTCCGATTGTACAATATATGATTAGTCGCCCGGTCCGGCTCGTTCCGACTTATTACTACCTGCAATAGAAAGACAACTTTTGTGAATAGATTTAAAAGTGAGGGACTAGTTTGCGTAGAAACGGACGGACAGACGGACAGACATGGATAGATCGACTCTCCTGGTGATGCTGATCAAGAATATGTATGGGGTAGGAAATGTCTCCTTCACTTAATTGCAAACTTTTGACTGAAATTATAATACCCTCTGCAAGGGTAAAAAATATATATACTTTATGGAGTCGGAAATGTCTCCTTCACTGCGTTGAATTATAATACCCTCTGCAAGGGTATAAAAACCTTATCTTCCTAAGTACACCAAGTAGCATCATATTGACATTTCTTATAGAACCATCGGGCCATCCAAACGTTTCTTTGGGTCTTGTTTAAAGTTTTTTCCGTCATGTTAAAGTTCTGTAACTCGTGCTGAAAAAAAAACCATTATACTTTTAGAAATGTAAACAAGTCAATTTTTAATTTGAAATAGTTTTCTTACGATGGGTTTTGGTAAAATGCGTTTCATTGAAACACGATTGAAATGCTCCTGATAGGCTTTCTGAAGTATTTCGTATTCCAATTCGTTTAGACATTGAAGGCAGAGATTGCATTCTTCCTTGTCGCAGGACTCGTCACAGTTGTGCGCAGCGCATTGGTTCAAATCCGTGGACAAATTTTTGTCAATTGTGAGCATTTCACTTTCCTCACCGTACCTAGAAAGAATATATATGCTATTCAATTTTTATATATTTGATTTAATATTCATACCGAATGCCAGCTGTGGCACTTATTGAACGAATTCCGACCAGATTTAACGCACTGTACAGCACTTGCTCAAACAAAAGTGAATTTTCCGGGACAAAAGCTGATGAAAGATTAGGCGACATGTTGACCTCCATTAGAAAGACCCTTAAATGCTCGTCAATGAACAGATCAAATCGCATTAGATCGAAAAAGTTATGTGTCCTAAAAGACTGCAGAACCCTCATTATGTCTTTCTCCTTTGCCATCACAGTAGCACGGATGATGTCCTCGACTTGAGTCCAAATCTGGGCAGAATCCTTGCCCTGATCCCGGACATAAGCCTCAAATGAAGTTCGCCTGTTGCCTCCAAAGCGTGAGTAATACTTCTCAAGTGCTGGGATTTTCCAAGGAGGTAAAAAGTTTTCGGCGACCACGTATTTGCCAATATCTTCAGCATCAAAGGGATAGTATTTCACAGGGCAGTATCGAAACATAACGTCGCCAGTGTAGATATAAACGCGCAATGGGTTAACGGAGGTGATGACCACATAAACTCCTATATCAAACTTGTGGCCATCCACCAGAAATGGTCTGTGGATGAACTCCTGCACAAAGGAGTCATTCGATGTTAGATCAATCTCACTGGGTTCCTTTAATTTTATATGACGATGTCTGTTATTCTTCTGAACAAAAAGTGTGTCTGGGTGCTCTTGGGCGTACTTCAAAAACGCATCACTTTCCTCTGGCAGCCTGAAAGCCTGCGGCTGAAACGGAAATCGGGAGGTGCTCAAGTCCACCTTGCTCGTCAGGAATCCGCAGCCAGGAAAGTGATTTACCACCTGATGTTTTCCCAGCTCTGTGAGAGACAGTTTGAAAAAGGGATACTGGTGGGACCATAGCAGATTCCAACTGTCATTTACTCCCACTCGTTTGTATCCCAGTTTATGGAGTACACTTATCACATGCTCCAGGTGAGCTTCCTTGGAACCGTTTAAAAGGAGGGCATATGTGGGCGTGGGCTGATGCTGGTATTCCAAATACTCCTCAACATTCCATTTTACTAAGAACTGCTTGGTGTGGGGAAAAGTTTCTAATAATAGGGCTGTTATTAAAGAAGCCGCCACAAATATTAGAATTGGCCGTAGGCCTACGGACTGTTTCAAAATATTTTCAGACTTCCCATTAGAACACTAAAAGATTGATATTTTATTAATATCCCAATATAAACATCAAGATTACTTACTTTACATTTCGAATTTATCTTTCGGCGGACAGCTTTGTCCACACGTGCCGCCATTTCAGACTAGAGTGATATTTTTAAATACCCAGTAATGCAAAACATTTTAGGAAAATTTCAAAAATTCCATTTTACTTACGCCAAGTTAAGTTCCACCACTAAAGCGCATATTTGAAAATAACATCCCTAGAAAAGCACACAAAGTTTACAAATTTTAAAAATTATATTTTAGTTGACGCTTAACAGAAAAACTATTAAAAATAATTTTTTTAAATGTGGTACATTTTTCAAATTTATAAGCTATCTTAATTAAACCTATTTATGATCATCTGCTGTCACGTTGAAATTTGAAACTATTTTGAAACAATGTCACAAAAAAATAATTAAATTCACTTTTTTGTTCGGTTACATTTTTATTTTTTCGTCTATATTTGTTTACACTTTCGAAAATGCATAGGCGTTTAAGGGATACTGCAGAGGTCAAAAGGATTCAGGCTCTCAAGGCATTGTTCAAAAAAGTTATTCACATGGTGAGCTTAAATAATCCGTGGAAAGACAGCGATGACGACCAGAAGATAAATTCTTACGTCAAAAGAAATATATCGACTCGAGTTCGGGCAAGGCGTAAAACAGGCTTCCTCGCAGCAGCGGTAATTAACAAGGTCTGATAAAAATGTAATATTAATCATAGGTTGATTATATTGCAGGAAAGAACATTAATTCGCACACCTCACGTAATACGAACTATTCCGGAAAGAATGAAATTGTGTACGTTGTTTGCGAAGCTTAGATGCTTGTCTCGTTTTACTCCAGTAAGGTAAACGCAGCTTGAATGGGATACCAAGTGACCAGAATCCTTTCAGAAACTCCGTGCTCGCTTAGTTCCAGTGACCCGCTTGATCGCCGTTGATGCTGGCCGAGTTATCATAAGGCAATCGGATGTTCCCATAACCGTGTATTTTGTAATAACTGGCGAAGTGCATATGATTCAAAATAGAGACAAGGTAATTTTTTAAAGCCCCATCACTGGTTGCAATATTTTTTTCTGTTTGCTTTGATTTTAAAGGATGGAGATGGGCTGCTGAAAGCCATTATAGGTCCTGGAGATATGGTGGGAGATATGGAGCTATTGGAGGGCATCAAACGAACTCACACCTTCAGAGCAGCAAGTAAGCATATAGCTTGGGTTTACAATTAATTGACATAAATATTTTTGTTTACTTTGAGAGGGCATCAAAAGCTGATTGCATACAATAATTACAGCTAGGTTTAAAAATAATTGTAAAGAAATTGAGCTTATCAGGGGTTAGCTTTAATGTTTTTAACCTGCGTTTCGATTTAAGACATCCGCTTGATAAATATTTATATACAATACAAATACGTATTAAATCAGCAAGTTGCGAAAAAAGCACACAATAAATCTTGTGGCTATTCCGCTCTTTGGCAATTTTATCGCACTTAAAGATGATAAGGAGGTAAACTGCAACATTTGCGGCTCATGTTGAAATAAATAGGAAATACATAGCCCAAACACGCGATATGTACGATTGTGTTTATTGGGAATTTGTTGGTTTTTGTTGCTTCATTTGCAATTGCCTGTACCCACCAATTTAATCAGCAATAAACAACGTTAAGTCCTAATTCGATTCAATCAAAATGAATAACAAAATACCCTCCGCCCGAGTTCGTCACGTGCCAGCTCCCCGAGAATCGGAATCGCCCGGTATTCAGTCGAATATAGGTTGGCCCAAAACAACACCCGCCTGCCTTTGGCGCAGTCGTGTGGCTTGATTTTTGGGTGCCTGTTGTTGTGCCTGTTACTCCTCGTGCTGGCAATCTTTCAAAAACAGATGCACGCCACCAGCACCAGTACTTGCCACTGCTCCATGGAGTCCGGGCCGGAGCCGATGTGCCCAATTCGAGAAGTCGCTAGTAGCTATTGAACACTTTACTTTGCAGCTAACTGCGAACTGCTGGTGCTTTTCGACTATGACTTTGCGCAGATTCTCGGGCCCTACATGACGAAGATTTGGGACGAGAAGAAACGGGCCCTCAAGGCACTGGACTACTTTGATTTCCTCGACGATGACCAGGCAAGTACAAGAACTCCTACCCGGACAGAAAACTCAGTTTCAGAGTAGAACGAAGGAAAAGTCACTGCCCTACCCCATTTATTACACATTCTGCATTCAACAATCAATGCTTAATATTCAAAGTTCAACTTTGAATATTATTGCAAAACGCTGAAAGCTCCAAGCAAAAAGGGCAACATGCAATGTTCAATGTGCAACATGCATCAATAAATAAGCAGCATGCAACATTTTAAAATGTCCCTGTCCCATTACTAAAAACCACTTCACGCTTTTGATAGAAATGTTTTCGACTTGAACTATATTTTCTTAAACATTATGTAGGTCATGGAAGCCTGCCGATTCGGGAGGCTAAAACAATACCAACCGCTGGATACCATATACTGTGACGATATAGGATCCATGACAAATGTTCACTTCGTGCTGAGTGGGGAATGTCTGATACTTCAGTGCCTAAATATGAGTGTTAGCAGATCGGAATATATCATTACAGGGTACTATTTAAATGAACCATCATTTTTATTTTAGGTTAGTTTGAAAAAAGGAAAAAAAGTTTTTCAACTAATGCCAACGTCTGCGGGCGATGTGTCAAACATGTTTAGAAAAGGCGTGAGATCCACATTTTCCCTTTCCAGCAAATCGGAGGATGTCTCAAAAATAGATCTGGTTGAGCTCGTGGAGAGTTCAACTTCCAGCTCTAAGGATAATGGCCAGAATACTACACTGAATCGCACGGTGAGCCAACTTAAAATATGATTTCTGTCATCAGGCAATTATGATAGTATTTTAAATGAACGATATTTAAGTGATGCTCTTGTTCCTGCTTTTGTAATCTAATTTTTAAAAAATTACACAGATGCGTAAAATGAAATTAAGAGATATAGAAAAAGCGTGTGGTTTAGTGAAATCATTACCGATGCCGAAGCCACGTTTCACATTGCGCCGTTCAACTCTAAAGTCATCGGTTACCGTATTCTCTGAAGCCAAACATGATTTTATAGACGAAGACATTTTTGAAGATTTTTGGGAAATCTGCGAAGATGAAGATGAGCTGGAAATAAGTTCTTCTGATTCAGAAGACTTGAAGTTAGAGATCAAACCGCCCTTCCGCACTAGCTCAAATGTCTACAAAAATGATGAAAGTGATCAAGATGGAAGTGTTTCTTCATCGTCTATTTCTAGTTTTAGTTCAAGCAATGAAGGTGCAACTGTAAGTCCACGGAAGTATTCGTCAGTCGAAAAGTATTTTTCTATTTTATAGCAACATAATTTACTTACCAATTTTTCGTTTCTCATTTCAGACACCCGTTGTCGAAAGCCATTTTATCGATGTCGGTACACTTACGTTTGGAGGAATTTTCGGCTTGGGCGAGACAATGGAGCACCGAGTGATAATGGCCAGAACCACGGTTCAGTGTCTGACCCTTCCCAGATTTTTCCTGCTAGAAAAGAAGCAAAATCCAGGCAACATTTGGGAGCGCAGGCTACTCTACATGGACTGCATGATTCCCTCAAGGGAAGCCCTTTTCGCCCACTTTCTCAAAGCTTGTGACTGGAGGAAATTCAAAAACGACTTTATTCAGGAAAGTTTGAAGCCATCCGATAATGACGTAACACACGCAGGCGACATTCCAATAATTTGCAGAATTGTGGAATCATCAGAAGATGTCAATTAATTGGTTAAAATAAATTCATTGCGGTCCGTTTTTACAAATTTCAGTTAAACAAAAAATTTATAAATCTTTTGGTTTAACTGAAAAATGTGAAAACGTCCTTGGAAGAACTGACTTTCAGTGTTCTAATACTACAGTACAAGCAACGTTTACATATTTTAGTCACAAAATACATATTTAAACTGCGTAACTAAAAATATTAAAAGAAAATATATGCATATGAATATCCTAACGGACCACGGTGCTTTTAATAGTTTGCAAATATAAAAAAGAAGGCATATTTTAGTTATATCGCTGATAGTAAGTATATCGCTAAAAACTATGCTACACTTTATTATTTTTTTATGGCGTATTAAATAGCAAATATTCGAGTATTATTCAGGAAAATGGGTGTTTTAACCGAATGTGTTGAAGGACACTCCTCGTTCCTTTACGATAATGGGCAGTTACATTTTCAAAACGACAGTTCCACCTCCCAAGCAAGACTTTCACGCAGCCCTGGAACTGGTTCTTTGCAATCAGGCACGATAACGGTGTCTACAACGCCAACCCTGGTGCGTAACGTCTGTGCGAAAACTCCCGTTCGGTTCGTCGTCGTCGGTGGTTGTTGGTATTGTTCGAACGTTCGCAAAAAAACTGTTGAAAATACTTGGATAAAAGTTGTGTGACAAAACAAGCTAGTTTCAAATAATTGTGGCGTTTTAAGTGCTGACTAACGTGTGCAATATGTATTTTTTGGCATTGCTTGCGTTTATTGGAAATGCCAAAGGTAACGGATCTTAGTGGGGAAAATTGGTGTGAAAAATTTGATACACATACACACACACACAAGCACAGAACATGCAAATTCAGCCCCATTTCCTGGTTTAAAGTGAAAATCTTCAAACTAAAGATTGATATACTCCTTGAGAGCGAAACTTACAAGGATTTTCAGGCAAAATCAATTTCGATTGCTGGGATCCTTCAGCGATAATTGGAAATATGGTCCATGGCCACACAGTTCACAATTTATGGGACACGGGGCACACGCATACTCGCTTTGGCAGGGCTCACCAATACCAGCCCACAAGCTGGCTCTTTTGCTCAGAGAGAGAGAGAGAAATAAATGGGGGCGAAGTGGAAATGGCAAAACGAAGGAAGTAGCCTGCAAAATTTCGCTTTGCTCTGCACAGAAAGAAAAATTCTTATTTGATATGATACACAATTTTATGAATTTACTTTTAATTTTAAATGTTTAAAATATTTAAAAACCACATTTTAAAAATGTTGTATTAAGTTATTAAAATGATATGTCTAAAATAAATTTTTAAAAATGCATGTGGCAAGCATGCGGCTTCTGTTAGCAGTGATGTTATACGCTCTATCATATGTATTAGGCCATCTTAGGTGATGAAATCTAGAATTGAACTCGGCTTAAAATTAATTCAATATTAAAATAAAAATGTAAATACCCATTTGACCTGCGCATTTCGATTTCTTTTTGAGATCCTTTTTTTCTGTGTGTCGGCACATACACACAAACATGCACGTTTGCTTGTGTGTGTTGGCTGGTGGGCGGTTGTTTGGGGGTGTGCGTATGGTGTTTATTTTTTGCATGTATTCTCTCCTCTGTATGGGTGTGAACTGGGTGTGTGTTTGGATGGCGTGTATGTATTTTCCGCACACACACACTCGGACACAAGTTTCACTTGGAAACTCTCGAATAAAAGGCAAACTTTTTTTGTATGTGATATTTTTCCAATTTTTGCTGCGGGGGCGAAACGCACGCCAGTTTGCCATTTTCGTTCGTGCGTTTCCTGCCCAGAAATTCGCTTTCCTGCTGCACACGCATGTACCTATACAATCTATGTGTGTATATGTATGTATGTGGGGGAGTGTGCATGTATATTTGTTTTTAATTTGAATTTCCGTTTGCTGCTTAGCATTTAAATGATGTCGAAAATGTTATGCGTTTGCATTTAATTACATTCGAGTGATAAATATTGTGGTCCTTCTTCTCCTCTCCTCATATCCCTTTCGCCCACGATATTTTTGCTAAGAGAATCTACAGCACCTGCTGCACCTTGGCAATGTATTTATGTATGTGTGATTCTGTAGCCCAATGTTAAATCCGCAAAGGCGAAAGTTGGTCAAGTGTGTCAAAATAAAGAATTCAGCAAGCATCGAGTGTGCATTATAGGTGCATATACATGTGACCATATGCATTTATTTACCAACGTACTAAAACTTACCTATGTGCATATTTGGCTATCCAAAAGTCAAATATTAAACACCAATGAAATCGGGCTTTATTCTGCATATGTATTTTTTAAAATAAAATCATAGAGAAGAAATGTTTGTACTATTTCTTTTATCCTATTTAAAATATATATTCAGCTGTCGAAAATCGTTTCCTTCCAAAAGCGCCAGAAAGTATGCTTTTCAATCTATCATTTGTTTTCCTTTGATTAGGACCGAGTTAAAAATATATAATAAAATGCTGAAAACTTTTAACAGAGCTTGTGGATTTCTAAACATTTTTGTAATCACTTCAGAAAGTGATAAGCTTAACGCCTATGTAAAATTAAAATCTAGTAATTTCAAGAATATTCTTTGGGACCTCAACTAATGCCTTCTTATTTTTTTGGGTGTTGTTAACAATATTAAAAAAAGTTGTTGCCAAAAATTTGTCCTCTTTCCAACTATAACCTACGAGAAAGAAAATATCATCTAGAGCGTCTTGATTCCAAAGCAACTAACCATATATTTACTTCCCCTTCCCTCAGATGGAAACGCGGTGAGCTCGAGCCTCGGAGGCTCCTGCCGCGACTATAATGGGAAGATGTACGAGACGGGCATGCACTATATGCCAGGACCCGACTCCTGCCGCCTCTGCATCTGCGACAGCGGGCTGCCCAAGGCCTGCAAAATGGTGCTCTGCGAGGCTTTCAGCAAGTGCAAGTCCTTTCAGACGGTGGGCAGCGGCAACAATTGCTGCGAGGTGATCTGCCTGGACGACCAGTTCAGCGACGGGAGCACCGACTTTGGCATTTGACTGGTGGCCAGCGGCATCACGGCCACACTGTCTTTGTCGCTGCTCTTCTTCCTGGTGAATCGTCTGCGGCAGCGCAAGATGAGGGCGCGGGAGAATCGCCAGAACGCGGAGGATCAGCGCAGCATCGTCGGCAGCATAGGGTGAGTGTGCTTCGAATCCTGTTTCCCTATGAATCCTCTAATGTCTGCCTTCTCAATGCAGCTACATAGCCGGAAACATGGGCTACATGGAGGGCAACCTGAGTGCCATTGATTACTCTTATGGCGGTGCCGCCACCCACTATCCCCTGTGGAAGCCGCACTTTCCGCGCGGTGAGGCTCCACCTCCATATGAGGAGGCTGTGGCTATCTCCCAAGCGGAAGCTCTAAGTGCCCAGTGCACCGTCAGTCTGCCGGCCAATTCCCAACGAGCGGTGGCCAGTGTCAGCCAGCAGCAGCAGCAGGCAGTGGCCCAAGCCCAGGCCCAGGCTCAGGCCCAAGCTCAAGCCCAAGCTCAACAGCAACAACAGATTCAGGCCCAGGTGCAGGCCCACCAACACCTGCAACAGCACACGCTCCAACTGCACACTCAACCGCAGCAGCATCATCAGCCCTACAGCCAACAGCTGGTAGCCCATCCGCATGCACACTCTGCGGCATCTGTGATGCCCCAATCCAACCAGTACACCCAGAGCACCACCAACCTGATCAACATCAACATCAATAGTGGTGGGGTAACCACCATAGCCACTGGGGAGAATCACCAGCCGCCTTACAGCCTTCAGAGCGATCACCAACTTAGTTTAGAGCAACAGCAGCAGCAGCATCTTGTCCAGCCTCCGGTCAGTAGTGGCTCCATTTGCCTTCAGACCATGCCCAAGCCGCCGGTCTCCGCCGAGTGCAGCTACAAGAATTGCCATCTGAACATCAGTGCCAGTGTGACCACTGCGGCTGCCAGCTCCAGTTCGGCAGCGTACACGGCCGGAAGAAGAACGACTCCGCGTGGATCCCAGGAGTTGCTTCATCAGTTGCCACAGCAGCAACAGCAATATCTTACGGTGGCCGATGTGGAGATCAACGCAAGTGCCAGTGCCGCTAGCTACCACTCGCTCCCAGCCGGTAGTGGAGAGCTCCTGGCCACACCGACGCACTCCCAGGTGTTGCAACACCACCAACAACAGCAGCAGCATCATCTTTTAACGGCCATCTCCTCGCCGGCCATGGAGTTGATGCAGCCTCTGGAGATAGCCACAATCTCGGCGACTCCTACCTGCAGTACAGCAGATTCGGTGACCCAGACGACGCAGATGCCTATGCATGGAACTCTGAAGAACAACCAGCAGCAGCAGCAGATCAACAAGACACCCTCCAGTTCGAGACGCTATCACCGCACAATACCGCGCTATTTTGCTGTGGCCGATCCTTTACAGGTGAAGCCCAAGACCAGCAATAGTGCCCCCTCGACAAGCGAGAAACAGCAGGCCAGTAAGAAACCCATGTGCCAGTGCCCCATCCAGCATGTGCCCATGTCCTACATGGGCAGCACGGCCAATGCAAATGCCTTCTTGAGCGGAGCCGGCAAGTTGTTCGCCGGTAACTCGAGCAGCAGCAGCACCTCCACGCCAACCTGCTCCTTATCTCCAGGAGCAGCGGCAGCTGGTGGAGTTCGTCATGCGGCCACCATGTCCTACGGACAGCGAGCCAAATCCTCGACGAATCTACAACAACAAGCACAGGATTTGATCACGGCGGCGGCTTTGGGGGGTGGGACATTAAGGCGAAGTGGGTGTGGACACGAATCCAAGATAACCACCATTTCCAAGCAGGTGGGCGATGAGACGCATCACGCGCATGCGGGGTCGGGAGGCGGGGTCAATGTGTCGGCCATCATTCCACCGCCCCCGCTGCAGCATCCCGAAGAGGTTTCCGCCCCACCAATTGTCCTGGGTCGCGTGCAGAAACGATCCTCCAGCAGTTCTGCAGAACGGGGCAGAAGCTCTAGTGGAGGTGGCAGTGGAGGACGCAGTGTGTCCAGTGGCGGCGGCGACTCCCTCTCCAGCGCCTACTTGAATCGAAAGGTGAGTTCGAAATGTAAGTAATCCCTTTGTGAGAGCTTGACATGGCGGGGAATGAGATCGAAGGCGAAATTGGAGAGGGACTTGATTGGTTTTCAGTTGTTCATATATCTCTGGTTTCATTCCTCGATTTCTGTTTTCCTTGGCCCCTGGGCTAATCCTCCTATCCTTTCCAGGTTGATGCCTACTTGAGTTTGACGCAGAAACAGCAGCAACATTTCTTTAACCAGCAACAGCAGCAGCAGCCAGATCCAAGCAATCCGACATTACCACCGAAACTCTACAAAAGCCTAACGAATTTAAAGAGCGCCACCGTGGTCAGCACATCCTCCTCCTCCTGCTCGTCCGGCAGCGGGAACAACAACGCCGTGGCCACCATTTACACGCTGAGCAAGCCGTCGTCCAGTGGCCAGCGCAAGGAGCAGACGCCCTCGCTGACTCTGCCGCCGGCGAGTCCTGCGGCAGGCTCCGGCGAGAAGTTAGCCAGCAGCAAGATCAACTCGAGCACCTTCTACCCGCTGGCCAACCACGTGACCTACACCCTGCCCAAACACATCAGCGGCAAGGTATCCCTGAACAGCACCATCAACAGTGTAGTCAGCAAGGTGCCGTCAGTGATCAGCATTCCACCGGTGGAGAACAACAACCCGGGCCAGACAGGAGCTCCGGCGAAAAGCACCACACTGCCAAAAATACTGCGCGTGAAGCGGGACACTGTACAGGGATCGGGGGGAGGAGGCACTGCCTCGAATTTGGCCATTGCCCACTGCCAGATGCCCACTTACCCGCTGACCCCGAAGTCCACATCCAGGGGATCCAGCGGTCGATCGCCAAGCAAGCAGCTTCCCGTGTGCACCACCTCGAAAAACTGTTTGAATCCAAAGGAGCACTTTCTGCCGAACGACACCAGCTTGGACGATGACTATCTGAGCGAGTGCGAGAACTGCAAGATAGCACAAAGTGCCAAGTACTATTTGGATGCGGAGATGACCGGTGTCGGATCCTCGGCCTCGCCCCAGGAGACCATGACGCTACAGCGTAAGTCGCTGGAGGAGACTAAGGAGGAGCCGCTCGACAGCTACTACCGCAGTTCGCACACCCTGCCCAGCAATGCCAAAAAGCATGGGTGAGTGACGGGGAAATATATGTTCGTGTCTGAATATTTTAAGCGGTGCTTAAAATATGTTTTTATACCCTTGCAGAGGGTATTATAATTTTGGACAGAAGTTTGTAACGCAGTGAAGGAGACGATTCCGACCCTATAAAGTATATATATTCTTGATCAGGATCAATAGGGGAGTCGATATAGCCATGTCCGTCTGTCCGTCTGTTTCAATACCGTTTGCGAGCTCAGTTTAAAAGCTAGCGATCTGAAACTTTCACACTCGTCCTAAAACATGTGTACACAGATCAAGTCTGAAAATCGCCCCGATCGGATGTCTATATCCTATAGCTCCCATTGGAACAATCGGATATATCTTGCAAGGATTGATGATATTTCGCGCAGTGTAAAAGCTATTGACATGAATCTTTCCAAATCGTATTTTTGTATGCATACCTTGATCAGGGTAAAAGCGCGTGACGATCGGACGTCTATATCCTATAGCTCCCATAGGAACAAAAGGGTAACATCGCTTAAAATTTAATGATTTTTAGGATATTTCGCGCAGTATACAAGCTATTGACATGAATCTTTCCAAATCGTATTTTTTTATGCATACATTGATCAAGGTAAAAGCGCGTGCCGATCGGACGTCTATATCCTATAGCTCCCATAGGAACAATAGGGTGAAATCGGTCCAAATTTGATGATTATCAGAATATTTCGCGCAGTGTGTAAGCTACTAACATAAATTTTTCCAATTCTTATTTATTTACGCATATCTTGATTAGGGTAAAAGCGCTTGCCGCTCGGAAGTCTATATCTTAAAGGAGATAGGAAAAATTGTTAAAGGCTGCGAAAGTATCCCTTTTTTTCTATTTGTTTATGACATTTTTGCAGTATAAAAGCAATTGACTTGAAACGATCCAAATCTAGTTGACTTATGTATACCTTATTCCTTTCGCTACTTTTTCACTTTTAGCAATTTCGACAAAGTCTGCAAGGGTATTAAAACTTCGGCTTGCCGAAGTTAGCTTCCGTCCTCGTTTTATTACATTTTTTCCAAAGGCCTTTTTATCAAAAAGTTATTTTCTATGAGAAGGAGCAATTTAAATCTGAAGAGGTGTGAAATCTTTCATAAATGAGTGTAAATCCACTATGGGAGATTTCAGTAAGAAGACGGATAATGGCATTTTCCTATTTTTAAATATTTGAAATTTGATCGGACTCACATTTGTGCTAAGCTTTTTTTCGAATGAAAATCTTTTGGTAAAGAAACATGTATTTGGACAAACAAAACCACATATACATAACATTAATTATAATGGATACTTTTTAATCTATTCGATTTTAACTAAAATCCTATAATTGCATAATATTCTGATCTTGTTTACCTGTAGCAAGAATAACAACCGTGAGAAGTGGCAGTTCTCGACAATTCCCGCTGCCAGCTCATCGGATGAGGATGTCAACGAATGAGATTTAAGCCATTTTCTTTAAGATGCTCAGTCGCCGGCCAGAAGAGCATCCTAAAGAAAACGCAGGCTTTAAGAACCACAACCGCCCCGGTAGGCAAATCAGCTTGAGAAGAGCAAACTTTGGTTCCCAACCAACCAGTTGCTGCTGCAACGAGAAATATATCCTGTATATAGACATATTAAGCGTACTTTATCGACCTACAGCTACGTCACTAAATATGTGTAGACGGTAACAAAATGATTGTTAGTTATAACCATGACGATACTTAACCCAACAGCGGCATGTAAATCTGCGTGTTTGTTATGCACCTGTATATCTCTGTATGTATGTAATTGAATCTGTACTATACGATATGACACGATAAGCTAAGCGAGTTAGGCCGGGCAAAAAATCAATTATAATCAATGAATATGGGGATATTAGCAAAAGTGTTGAATACTTAGAATAAGTGAAATTGATCATTAAGATGTCAAACCCTACTGCCATCTGCCATTTTGCCAACGTTAACTGTCAATAATTGTGTATGTATGTAATATCAAAAAATTAATGTAAACAATTTAAGTGTTTATATATAAGAAAAGGAAGCTGACCAAAATTCAAGGTATTTCCCTGCTGCTCATTCCCAAGATGCACAAACATTGCACATACGAACTCTAGGATAAACCAATTGACATATACATATACATAGAGAAAACCGTAGGTTATGAATTTGAATTCCAACATCATTGTCATTCCACTCCCGCTTATTAAAATGTCGGGTACCAGACAAATTATCTAACTTTTAAATTGTCCCCTTCTTTTCCCTTTCAACTCAAATAAATGTACCATATTAAATGAAACTAAGTCAGTATATTAGAAGTAAGAAATCGTTTCCAAATCGTTTTTGTGTGAGGTTTAATAGACATTAGACGGTTTCTTGATCGATAACGAAGGACTTGCTAGAAAATAACATTCGTTTGCTTCTTCAATCGGGCGGGTCCTAGACAGTCTAATGCCAACGATATAATTATATTTATACGGAATACAGGTAGAGGAGCGTAGTCCCAAAAAGTAATGGGCAAACGAATTGTTTGATTTGATCAATTTGCAAAACTAGTCGTAATCATACTAAGCCAGGAGTTATGCAAGCAATTAGTCGGAGCTTCACTTAGACGAAAGCCAAAGATACCCAAATAGACACTACAAATTGTAATGATTTGACTTAGTTCGACTTTTATTTAGATAACTTCCCCCTCACTTCTGATGACAAAGTGATGGCGAAAACCTTTTTGAAAACGGTTCTTGTTCCGCTTTTGGTTGTAATCGATCTCAGACCTGAAAACTATAATGTGTTCACCGGATGCTCAAAATAGCTATAAACCGAAATGCATAAATTATACAATTTGTTGTTTGAGTTCGGATATTGTATGTTTAACGAAGACTCGACTCTGTTATCAAATGCTCAAAGCGTGTACTGACCACAACGCAATCGTGTCCCCCAAAATCGGGGGAGTAACTTAGCAAACTGAAATTACAAGTATTACAGAAATTACTCAATAGTATTAAATAATGAAATCAAACGTTTTTCAATATACTTATTAGAGAGTCATTTATCAAAATTTAATTTCAACAGCAAAACCAAAACAACATATGTACATCACGGCTAAGTACGAATTTTTATTCAATAAGCTATATTTACTGCTAAACGAAGTCTCAAGAAACCAAAAATAAAATACTTGATAATAGTAGTTTAAAATTACAAAATATAAAAAAATACATTAAAATTAATTAGTGTGCGATAGTTAAAACAAATTTACCAAATCGAAAAACCAAACCGTTTCAAAAATTATTCAACACAATTGCTGTCGATGCGGCATACTGATTTACTTCAATCGGTAACGACGGCCATCGTTTTTCAAAAACGATATCGAGATTTGTATGAATAATTGCTTAAACAACAAAATATTACGAGTATCAATGTGTTATTGAACAAACATCGTATTGTAACAATTTAAATTTAATTGAACTACAAGTGGAAAAATAAATTGGTCTATAATGAAAACTATACAGAGGTTTTTCTATACTTTAATGGTAACATTATAATAGCCAATGTGAAAAAATGTGGGCTACTGCAAGGGTTTGTTTCTCAATTTTCCGAATTGAACACCCATACCAACCTTCCCAAAAATAAGAACTCAGTTTTTGAGGTTTTAATTGTAAAAAATGCAATACAATTTGTTACGTGTTTTTTTCGTTTCGTTTTTCTTTTGTATTTAAATCATAAAAACAATTTTACGATGTATCAGATTTGCCTTTAGTTAATATAATAAGTAAGGTATATCCTATTAGTTGTTTTTTTAATGCCTGATTCTGCTATAGACGCACAACACTCGCAAGCGAAACGCGTGTTTTCTTTTTATATACATACTCGACAACAAAATTCAATAAATTAAGTTAGGTATGTATTTTTTGTTGGTACATTTTTAGTTTCGGTTTGATCAACGGACATAGGAAGATGGAGCTGGGAGACAAAAAGGAGCAGGTGAAGAGCGCTAAGATGATGCTGCTACTGCTGTCGCTGGTGTTTTGCTGCTTAAAGTAGAACCAATCGGATCCTAGCTTAGTTTTACTTCTTTGCTACCTGACTGTCCAAAACTGGAGTGATTGTCTTGCCTCCAAAGATCTGACCCCAGCCGATCAAACTGAAAGGGAAGAATTCGGTTATGAAAAGTGACTTTAGAGCAGATATTGGGGGCTAAACTTACCGCCAGTGGTTCTCCACACGTCTGCTAAGGGCAATCTTTTCGCCCTTCTCCGTGCACACGGGCGTTGTGAGCACGATCTTGGCCAAATCTCCCTTGGTGGCCGAGATGCGACCTCCGGTGCTAAGGGATCCGATGTTTACCAGCAGGATTTCGTTCTTCTGCAGCTTTTCGACGCGCGCTCCCTTTTTGTCGCCATCGGTGCGGACGCCCAGAAGGCGCCGCAGCAGGTAGTACGAGATTTCCAGCTCCTGGTAGATGTCCGGCAGCTGGCCAACAGCGCCCAGCACCTGACCGACCAATCGATCGGCACGGCACAGCGTCGGATCGATCTTGGTGCCCACACCAATTAATCCACCGGGTACGGCATATTGCAGTTCGTTTTGCTCGGCAAAGAGCGATACGATGCGAGAGAAGATCGGACGGCAGGTGATGTTGCCGTCGCTGTCCTTGGTCACGACGCCCGGACGCACCTCGATCTCCTGGCCCACCTTCAGCACACCGCTCAGGATGGAGCCTCCGGCAACGCCGCCCTTCAAGTCAGCTACCTCACAGCCCGGCTTGTTCACGTCAAAGGATCGGATGACGATAAGACGGGGCGGGGCATTGAAGTCACGGGGCGGAACGGGAATCTTGTTCACAATGTACTCGCAGAGCACATCAATGTTGTACTTGAGCTGGGCAGATATCGGAATGATCGGCGCGCCCTCAGCCACGGTGCCCTGGACGAACTTGGTGATCTCCTCGTACTGCTCCTTTGCCTGGCTCTCTTTGATCAGATCGATCTTGTTTTGCAAGATTAGAATCTGTTTCAGTTTCATAATCTCAATGGCAGCCAAGTGCTCAGAGGTTTGCGGTTGTGGACAGGATTCATTGCCTGGAAATGAGATGGAGATTATAATATAACATAAAGATAGTAATATTATTTCACTCTCAAGAGTTCATACAATTAACCTTAGTCTTTTGTTTCAACAAAAATCTGGATAACTCACCAGCAATCAGCAGCAGGGCGGCGTCCATCACAGCGGCGCCGTTCAACATCGTAGCCATGAGAATGTCGTGACCAGGGCAATCCACGAAGCTCACGTGTCGCACCAGTCTGAAGTTACCAGAGCAATTGAGTCGAGTGCAGGGCAAGCTGTCGTCCTTGCTCGAGGCATCCGATACAAAGCTGGCCGGGCGCGGACACTTGGGGTTGTCGCACTTGTAGATTTTGGCATTGGCATAACCTAAAAGCAGGGATAAGAATTGTGAGGATTATGAGTCTGTGGGTTCTTTGAAACCTTAAGAATACCTTTGCAAAAAAATCCTTGAACTTTTTCAATGCCGAATCAGCATACAGGATTAAAAAAATATATAATTTATGCTAAGAAATACATTCTATTTCTCCCAATACTTAATGCTTTAAATGAATACTTTGTATTTCGATAAATAAATAAAGACATCCTTAATAATCATAAGATATTTATTATGAAATCAGTTATACACATAATACCGTACATAATTCCAGCACTTTGTAAAGGTGTTTGTCAAAACACTACTGTAACCTATTTCAATACTACAAATAATGAAATGTATAAAATTACATGTACAAATTATACAGAATTTTCTTTTAATTCTCTAGTCAAGTCTGGATCAAACCTAACATAGATCAAATCCGTCGATATTTGCATTCGGCAGTGCAAGCAATTAACAAATAAATAATTAAAATGCCATCAATCTTTTGAAATATATAATCGGCAAACAGATGGCCAACAAGCGCCAAATAGTAACTAGTGTTGAAAAAATGCAATTCAATGCAGATAAAAAAAAATAATAAAAAAAAAAAATTAAATAAAAGTCCATATCCGTTTAGAACAAGACCTTCCGGCAATTGTCCGCTCCGCAGCGGCACTCGACGCGCACAGCCGTTGATAGGTTCTCGTAGGGTACATCCTCGTTGTCCGCGCGAATGTAGTCGAAACTCAGCTCCTCGCCCGCCTTGATCGGACGCAGCGTGAAGAACACAAGGTGCGGCAGAGCCACATTCAAGTGCTCGATCCAGCAAGGGAACACGGCCAGATTGGGATCGCACGAGTGGTTGATAAAGTGCGATATGTTTCCAAAGTTTGCCGCATCGATTGTATACTCGCTCTCCTGGGCCGTGTTGTAGTCTAGGTCGAAGAGGTAAGTTCTGCCCTTGTCGTCGTATGCCTTACCGCGCTCATTGGCCTCGTCGCTGGTGATAATCTCCCCAATATATTCGCAAACAAATTCGCCCTTTCGCAAGGCAGTTGGGGTGCGTACACCCCAGCCGCTTCCATTGCTTGTTTTGAACAGCACCAGCGGTATCTGGCGTCCGTGCTGCACCAGGCGGTTGGAACAGCTTGGCTTGCAGGCGCAGCGGCTATTGCACTCGAAGATGGCACTGCCAGGATGCAGGCGCAAGCGCCTTGAGCTCCGGTCGTAGGCAAACAGCTCGCCGGCCATGCGGGCGCAGCATTTTGTAGAGGCGGCGCACTCCGCCACGCCATCCGCATCCTCGCACTTGCAACCCAGAATCCCCGCTTCTGGCTTGGGCACACCTTCCCCGATTATGTTCTTTTGTATGTACATGAAGTTGGTGTCTATGATGTCCAGATCAACGTTATTCTCAACTTTTATCGGAGGAGACGGATGCTCCACGAGGTTCATGCGCTCCTCAAACTTGGCAAGGTCAAGCAGCTGCTTGCGCCGCGTAAATTGAGCTCGCTTGAGCTGCATACTTCGCAGTGCTCGCTCTCCGATCTTCTGTGGCTCTTTTTGACTGCGACTGCTGGCCGCACGGTATTGAGCCAAAATAATTAAGTCAAGCTGCAAAGTGAGAGGATCATAGGCATCCACTTCTACCACATTGATGTTTTCCATCAACGGCAAGGCTTCCAGCTGCTCTTCAAGTTCACTGGTTATCTTAGCTATGTACGTCTCGTAAAGTTGCTGATGTTGCTTCACGAACTCTTCCATTTGGGCGCAGTCAACCAAATTAGCTAAGCTCTCCCAGGTGTTTTGGCTGGATGTGTAGCCCAGCCATTTGACCAAAAATATGGGCTTGTATTGGTCCACCTCGACAGACACAATGCGCTCCACAATGTACTCGCCCCTAGGCCGCTTCTTGACTACAAGTCCCTCATTGTTTTTGGACCGTTTTGAGTTGGGAGTCGGCGTGCTCGAGCTGCTATTGCGTCGACGCTTTAGATTAGCAAAAACCTTGAGGCCGTGAGATTGGAACGCGTCATATTCTTCGCATCCAAAGACGCTGCCATATCCGCTGCTGTTGCTGGGACTCAGCGAGGTCTGGCTGCTGCTGCGGTGGCTGAAGCGTCTGTCCATGTTGGCTACGGCGGATGGGGCTGTCATCGAGGACAGCATGCCCAACCGGCTGTGGCGCCGCAATTCGGCCAGGTGCCTTAGTTGGGAACGTTGCTTTATCTCATACTGCTGTCGCTGCTGGCTAGAGCTCAACAGTTTTTTGATTTTCTTTTCGCTTAAGCGTTCTGCAAATGACAAGTTTTGGACATTTTTGGATTGGGTTTTTTGTGGACGCGCCGCAACCGAAGTAAACGAAAAAAAACCGGAGAAATGGGGGAAAAAGAAGAAAAAGATTGGCAATTAATTAAATTGCTGGATTACAATTCGTTTCAATCAAAATAACAAATTCAATACTAAGCTAACAGGAAGAGTTTCTTAATAAAAGGTTTAGGACCGCTTCTTCATCAAGCTTACTAAAACCAGCTTTCAAATTCAATTGAATTTTTCCGATTATTAGCTACTTTTAGATAGCGATGAAGATGAGAAAGCAATCTTTGGGTTATTATTGAAAAGATGAACTTTTTTTAAGATTTCATTCATTTTGGTCTACTAAGGCGACGACACACCTTGAGATGCAAGGCAACGCGTGCTAATCCAGCAATTTAAGTAAACAAAATACAGAGAAGTAAATAATACAACAGACAATCATTCGAAGAACGCTTTTTCAACAGTATCTTGATCCAAAGCAGCGACAGAGTTGGCTTCGCGGTGTGCCGTCGTCGGTACAGGGTTAAATAGTAGTTCTTAGGATTATACAGGATCTGTGAGAGGCAGGAAGTACGGCTGATTATCATCGGTCAGCCGAGGAACTATGCTACGGTTGTACAGGCGAGCAAAGAGGATCAACATATGGCTAACTTAGGGTACAGTCGTAGATACATCTTAGACTACTAGATTCTTAGACGTATCCTTCACTCACCCAGCTTGATTGTGATGTTGCGCTCCAGTTCGTTCTTGAACCGCACCGTCTGTACACCGGAGATGGCCTTGACCACCGTGGATTTGCCGTGGGCGACATGACCGATGGTGCCAATGTTGATGGTCGCCTGCCGCGAAATGACCTCCGGCGAAAGAGGCGTCAGTTTGGAAACGTCCTGCAAATGCAAACCGATTAGTAAGGGTGGATCAGGAAAAAACAGTCCGGAAGTCTCATTTACAACCACCACGCCCCCCCGATAAAACATCCCGCCTTAGCTGCATGTGTGTATATGGGAAAGCCGTAGATTTTGAGGTTAGAATGTCCGTTGAATTGCATCAGCTAAATGTATGACAACAGTAGGGCTGTCCTCTCGTAACCGAGCTGTTTGTGAGGTTCTACGCCATGCCTAGATACAAATTAAGGTCATATGCAGGCCAAAAAACCGAGGGAAAACCGAACGGTCCCTAAATGTAGCGCCACGTGCTGCATTTTCCTTGAGTTTCTCACCCCCGGCGATGGGCCAAAACAAAAGGCTGTTGGGCCAGGCAAAACCCGCTTAGATGGTTTAGAAAATCAGGCTGTGCCCCGCTCGGGAGTATCTGGGTGCGTCCTGGCGTCCCGCTCCCCGCTCTTTTCCCGGGAAGCGGCTCCATAATGACGACGCGTACACTTTCACACAGGGAAGAAAAAACAGGCGGCGTCTGGCGGTCGACTTTACTGCTGCTTACCAGGTTGCTGAGGTCCTGCTTCTGCAAGTTTCTGTTCACACCGATTTGAGCTTCCGCCGTGGCCATGTTGCTGATGTTTTAGAAAACGATGCGTATGCAAAATTATAAAATAAATTTTCAGCTATTACAGCTCGGCATCAAATGTTGTCCGCGCGTGTTGTAAAGGACCGAAAACGCGCTGTAATCTAGCCGCCCAGTGTTGCACAGCGACAGTGCCCGTCGGTGGTGGGCCAATCGATAGGAGGTATCGATAGTGCGATAGCAGCGTGCGATAGTGTTATAGCCGCGTGCAGCCACTACTGATACACTTACAACTCTGCAGCCTCAAACTCTCAAGGTAAAAATCCGCTTCGCTTCTCTTCTGCTCAACTGTACCGCCGCTTTTTGTGCAAATATCTCGTAAATTACGACAGTAAATATACCGAAAAAGCGAGCAGAGCAGAATGTCGAGCGTGCCAAAGCGAGCCAAATTGGACGGCGCCCCCGCCGATGGCAACACATCCGCCGGCAACAACGAGGAGGAGTCGGAGGCGCTGGAGCAGATCGATGCTTGCCAAAACGAGATTGACGTGCTGAACGAAAAGGCCAGCGAGGAGATCCTCAAGGTGGAGCAAAAGTACAACAAGCTGCGGAAGCCGTGCTACGAGAAGCGCAGCGAGCTGGTGAAGCGGATCCCCAACTTCTGGGTGACCTCGGTGAGTCCTACGCGCGGCCATGATTACCAGGCTCGCGTGTCTATAGTCTGGTCCTAGATCTTTACGGGCCTAATTGGTTTTGGGACCCAGCACACTCCTACGAGATATTTTCTCTACTCGAGGAATTTTTTTTGTTCATCTTGGGCTGCAATTCTGCCGACGCCGGCTCCCCACTCTTTTTAACCACCCAAAAAGGTCGTGTTATCGATACATCAGTCTGGCGGGCCAGTTCGAGAAATACACAAATTTTCCCCATCTTCACATCAAATAACTACTAAATGAGACCAAATAAACCTATAAAGTACAAAATTCAAGCACCGTGTAATATATGTTATCCATTTCATTCCAAAAGGCCCCTTTCGCATACCCGTGCTAATCCCAACTACCATATTTGCAGTTCATCAACCACCCGCAAGTGTCCGGCATTCTGGACGAGGAGGAGGAGGAATGCCTGCACGCACTCAACAAACTGGAGGTGGAAGAGTTCGAAGACATTAAATCGGGGTACCGCATCAACTTCCACTTCGACGAGAATCCTTACTTCGAGAACAAGGTGCTCACCAAAGAGTTCCACTTAAATTCAGCGGGTAAGTCGAGCAGGTGATTACCATAAGCACAAAAACTCACGTAAACCTCATAAACTACCAGCGGCTACTGAAAACGGCGAATGGCCCGCGTCTACCAGCACGCCCATCAAGTGGAAGGAGGGCAAGAACCTGCTTAAACAGCTGCTCACGAAGCCCTATGGCAACAAGAAGAAGCGCAACTCAGAGTACAAGACTTTCTTCGACTGGTTCTCGGATAACACTGATCCCGTCAACGACGAGATTGCAGAACTGATAAAGGACGACCTTTGGCCCAATCCACTGCAGTATTATCTGGTACCTGATATCGAAGTGGAGCCAGAGGACGAGGAGGACAACGAAGAAAACGAAGAGGAGGCGTTCGACGACGAGGATGGTGAGGACGGCGAGGGTGACGAAGATGACGATGATGAAGGTACTAAAGTAAACCCTTTTTTTATTTGAGGAACATTTACTAAAATTTGAAATCGCTTTCAGATGACAAGTAAACTGGAACAAGCGATCATGTAATTTAATTTTGTTTCCAACTGAAGGCCCTAAGTGTTTTCAACCACTTGCAACTATAATTTCCCGTGTGGTAATATTCGCAACCATTTCAGACATATTTAGGTTTTAATTTAAGTAAAAAAAAGTCATACATACGTATTTCCATTGAAGAGCAACAGAAAAATGAGAATCAACATTAAACCAATTTTTAAAACAACAAAAATAAAAAAGACGTGAATCGAATCTCACACCGAGTCGTTTTCCTCTTTTTTCAATAATTTTTCGAGGAATTCAAATGAGTAATGATGGCATTTTAAAATTGGATGGATAATGTTAAAAAATTTCTAACAGCATCCATATTAAAAAACGAAAAAATTGTAACTCGTACTAGTTTTACATAAGATACATATATTATATGTACAAATTTCGTTTAAACTGACAACTAACAGTTTGGTAACAAAATCTAATAAAAAAATCTAATTTCCCGATAAATAAGGAATTTAGCAGCTATTTAGGCATACAAGGATGTTTCAACTTTTTGCTTTGTGCTGTATTTATTAAACGTTAAAATAAACGACAGTAACAAACCGAGACATTAACTAGAACTCGAAAAACCGGACTGAAATAACTTAATTTGGCTATATTTAAAAAGTAAGACTAGCTATTTTTTGTAATCGATGTCTGCTGCATAGCTCTTACCGACTCAAATCAACCCTGGCAGAGTTATCGAAAACACCATAACGAGTAACGGAACCCTGGTTACAGCTGCGATTTTTAGCTGAAAAATTCTCGGGATAAACGATGGCCTCCGTTAACAAATTAGCAATGTTGGTAGGTTTTAAGTGAATAATTAAAGGCAAAGTGGATTGCGCTCGCCAAAGCAAAGGCGTTTTAAGTGCAGCTCATAACAACAAGGATAGAAAAGGCCATAATCGCATATGTTCAATTATCTAATGCGCTTTTCTTGGTTATGTAATTTTTGCCCACTTTAACCCACAAACCGGAAGAAGTTTCTGTTTGTTGAACCGAAGGACTCACTAAGAACTCTCTTTTAATAATCCCGCAGAGCCGCGCCCTCAGCTCCACCGCCGCCCAGGCGATGGTGAAGCCCCCACTTCAGGTGTTCGGCCTGGAGGGTCGCTACGCCACCGCCTTGTACTCGGCCGCGACCAAGTTGAACCAGTTGGACCAGGTGGAGAAGGACCTTATCGCCCTGCAGTCCACCATCCGTAGTGACAAGAAGTTGCGCGAGAGTGTGACCAGCCCAATTATCAACAAGAAGGTTATGGGAACCGCTCTGAAGGAAGCATCAGAGAAGCTGCGCTTCGCCCCGGCCACCGGCAATCTGCTGGGTCTGTTGGCCGACAACGGACGCCTGAAGAGGCTGGACACCGTGATCAACGCTTTTAGGACCATCATGGCCGCTCACCGCGGAGAGGTCGTATGTGAGGTGGTCACCGCCAAGCCTCTGGACTCGTCCCAGAGCAAGCAACTCGAGGGCGCCCTCAAGGTAGCTATCTACCCCAGCACTCCTTTTTCCCCATCACCATTAATTTTGCCTTCGCTTTGCAGTCCTTCCTGAAGGGCAACGAGTCGCTGAAGATTACCACCCGTGTGGACCCCAGCATCATTGGCGGCCTGATCGTTTCCATCGGAGACAAATACGTCGACATGAGCATTGCCACAAAGGTCAAACTCTACAACGATGTTATCCAGACCGCTGCCTAGACCCTTAAAGATTAGCTCTTGATTTAGATGGTTCAAACCGAAAGTTTGGTATTGGAATTCAAGCGGTAATTGCGAATAAACACCTCTTAACCCTTAGAAATCCAAAGATAATCCTTCGCAAGCGTGTAATTCCGGTTTATTACTTTAAATTTCGGTTTCATCCTTAGGGACCTGCTTGTCCGTGCAGTGGAGCTCGGCCACCTTGTGCTGGATGGTCTGCTGCAGCAGGTTGTGCTGCTGCAGCAGATTCTCCAGCTCCTTGATGCGAACTCTCTGCAGCTCCAGGACCTTAGTGTAGTTGTCTGTGGCCGGGAAATCGTGTTGTCCTTCTTCGCTCTGGATCTGGTTAGGATTTAACTGGACTTCATTCCTATTCTGCTTGGCTTCGTTTTCCGTGGCTATGGGGCTACACTCATCCACTAGACCTTCTTCGAGGACAAGGACGTTGGTCTCGTTTTGATCGGAGGTGGCAGGCTGACAAACTCGGTAGTTGGGCCTGTCGATTTCGGGAAACGCAGCTCGTTCGTTACACTCAGTCAGATCCGACTCTTGCACGCAGATCTCTGGAGGCGGGGCTAAGGACTTGGCTGGACAGCAGCACGGATCATCGTAGTCGTTTTTACTGGATCCATTCATAAGCAACACATTAATGGCATTCGAAAATTTTCGCTCGGCGCCATAGACAACGTTACTTGAATTAGTGCCATATCCGGCAGAGAAACCTGTGGATAAACTTGCTGTTTGGTAGCTGAACGAAGTTGTCGTCTTGGGTCTTTTAACAGGGGTGGAACTCTGGGATTGCAGAGCCTCACTTGAGACCTGCACCTCCTGGTCCTTTAAACGACAGTTGATGCAAGCCTGGCAGCATTGGGACTTCAGCTCCGGCTTTTTAATCCTGTTTTGCTGGTTCATAGTGAGTTTGGAGCTGTCGTTACTCCGCCACGATTGCGAAGCCTTGTGGTTAACGGTGCTGGACAAACTTTGAAAATCGTCTCCCGTAGACTTTAAATCCTCTGATCTTTGTTTCCTTACAGCGGGACAACAGGATCTAAGTCTTTCCGCGTTACCATTCTCCTTCTTATGGGCTCTTTTTATACTTTGTTGGCTCCCAAAATGGCGTAACAGCGGGCATTCTTTACAGGAGCCATCTTCGGGAGGTCTGGTTTTGTTGTTTCTTAGCAGTGGACAGCATAAAGAAGGACAACCTTCTGCAGAGTGCCTGGTACTCGTGTTTCTAATAATTGGACAGCATGTACACGTGCAACATGCGGCTCCTTGAGGCGATTGATATTCATTTACCCTCTGCTTTACATTAACAGGAGGTTCCGTTTTGCCATCGAAAGCGGAATTAGCGGAATTCTGACCCATTTGGGTGTAGGTATATGGATTACCCTGAAACCTGCTGTTGCAAGCACCACGAAAACGGCAGCAACCATTTTTGCATCTATTAACGTTGCTGGTTTCCTGCCTCCCCGAACCGATACTCTGTTTACTTTGATTATGCATCTCCTCGATGGCCTTGATATTGGTTGGGTAGCTATGGCCGTAAAGAAGGTCCCGCGGCCCAGGACCCGATCCCGAAGAGCTCCACTTGACACTGCAGAGCCGGTTTGGGGTGTCCTGGTGCTTCAGCCCGGACTTATTCCTTGACTCCTTAGCAGCACCAGACAAGCACTCCGAGTCGGAAGTGGATTCCTGCACCACATCCAAATGGGAAGCGCAAACGCAGCCGTGTCGACACAGCGATTCCGTATCCACATCGAAGGTGCTGAGATTGGCCAAGTTCTGCCACCGGCGAGCTTCCGTCATGTTGCGTGGGTAGACGCAGAGATCTCCCGGCTCCTGGCCACAGATTATACAACGACGATGCATTTTCTAACGGACAACCAGGACAGAAACGGTCAAATTTTGAATATTAGAACATTATATATAGTCGATAACAGTTATCGGAATGGGCCCTATTTGCACTATTAAGTAAAAATTCAGTATTAATAGCGTGGGCGGTTTTAAATTTTTAAATAAAAAACAATGTTAAAAGAATAAAGATTTTGCGAAGTCCCCGGGAGGTGCATCAAACAATTTTACTCTTTTTCATCCATGAAACAGATTTGCTAGTAATATATTTAAATTTACTAAAAAACATTTAGTAACGGGATTTCGGGTAAAATGCCTATTTCGACGAAAGTCTAGCTACGGACTACATGGTTTAATTTTGTTTTTATCGTTATATAAATTTTACGTTTTTAACCGAACGTCTGGCGACGGTTATTGTAATCTAACACCCTGACTCATACGTCGTCTAGTAACGTAAATATGCAGACGCGGGCTGATCGCTCGAGCCCTAGCGACTAAGAATAAATTTTTGAATAAAATCAGTCTTAAACTGGAACTCGACGCGATCCATTTATGTGACACTCGACGGTACTCTAGCGAAGCGTTTCGGTATTCTGTGTGAATAAAACGGTAAGCACACTGCCACCTGTTTATTTTAAAAATAGTAAATGCAACGAACTTTTGTGTGTTTTACTGGCCCACTCTTGATGACAAAGCCCGACACTGGCAGGTGAAACAATGAGCTTGGCGAACGCCTCTTCACCCATGGAAATTAACCCGAGCACCAGCTTGGGTGCCACGAATCGTGGCGACCTAGAGAAGGTGCTGGCTATGCTGGTCCTGGGACTGGGGAGTCTTTTGTCCGGAATGCTGCCCGCTATTATTTCGGAAAGGAATCGTCAGCGCTTTCCACTGACAACATCCCTGCTCCTGTGTTTCGGAGCTGGCATTCTACTGGCCACCGCCTTGGTTCACATTCTGCCCGAGGTGAGTACACCTGATCAAAGGTGGCCGTGCAATTTTATGATCTGATGTTTGACACTCCAACAGGTGCGCGAGCAAATGGACTCGAAATTCGCTGAGGTAGCCATGTGCGGAGGCTTTTTCATCATCTACTTCATCGACGAGTTCATCCACTACTTTTTTGGCGAGGCTATACAGCACTCGCATACCCTGATCCCCGAAACTGAGCGCATAAGTCCCTCCAATGGCAATGGTTATGGCGCAGTGGATGAAAGGGCACCGCTCTTATCAGCGCAAACTACGTCACGTGCGCATTCGCACCACCATGACCAGTAGGCTAAATGCATTTTCATCTTCGGCCTCCAATTAATGACTTTGTGTTATGATCAAGCCCCGATAATGACCACAATCACCCGCCCACCGCATCCGGCTGTGATGACGCTAGTATCGAGGACGCCAACGCACGAATTTGCCACACCAGCCACACGGAACCCTGCGTCCAATCTATGACTGGCACACTAGGACTCTTTGTGGCCCTGTCCCTACACTCGACCATCGAGGGTCTTGCCATCGGCGTCCAGAACTCGTCCACAAAGGTCGGTGGCGTCTGCCTTGACATAGTTAGACTAGTCTCACGACTACACAGTGCGCAATCTTGGGCAAATATTGATGCAGAGAAACGCGCTGGCTTAGTCTAATAAGATAACCGGAATCTGCTTTGTCTCGTTTTAGGTTATATTTCTTCTAGGAGCAGTCGCCTGCCATAAGTTTGTGATGGGCTTTTGTATGGGACTCGAGTTCCGCTCCAATCCGCAGACAAGTTTTCGCACCCAGTTCGTCGGCGTTTCGGTTTTTGCCCTGGGAGCTGTCATTGGCATTGGCTTAGGCATGCTTATCGTGGATGTGCCAGCCGCTTGGTCAAGCAAAACGCTGCCTATCATCCAAGCACTGGCTGGTGGCACGCTCTTCTACGTCACCGTCTGCGAAGTGATACCACGCGAAAAGGCGCGTTGGCACTCGAATCCGAATCGACGCTGGGCGGGATTTGGGCAGTTCGCAGCAGTAGTCGCCGGCTTTGCCACCATGTGCATCATAAACTTTTATCTTTCTGGTGCGTACCGTAATTTGGTTTGTCAATTGTTCTCCACTGACTTCTTTCGTTTACTCTTTTACAGATGAGGAATAGTAATCTTGATTGGAGAAATATTCGTTGTGCTGTGACCCATGTGCCTCTTTTTATATATGAACTTAAGATACTTTTATGAATTAGCAGAAGTTATATGTAAGGCCTCTTTTATGTGCATTTCCGATGAATCTTGTTTTAATTTTTTTTGTATTTTAATTTTCCCTAAGATAAGTAAAAACGGTAAAAGCAAACATTTTGTTTTCGTCTACATTTATATTTTGCTTTCTCCAAAGTATTTGTTATTTTTTGTATGCTTTTATTATGTATAATAAACCTTACACTTAAGTTGGTAATCAAAAAAAAGGGTAACCTTTTTTTATGAATATTACTAAATCAATGATAAAACGTCAATCATTTTACTTATTAATCTGGGAACATCCTGCCATTGTTTTAAACCAATTAAAACAACACCTATGTAACTACATATATCTATATGTATGTAAATAGGCATATATGTATACTATATATAGGTGTATATAAAGTGTTTACCTAAACGTGAATTGTTGGTTGGTTGCTCTACTTGTGGTGTAGGGGTGAAAGAAACTGACACTCATAAATAGCGAAATGTTACTTTGTTGGGTTGTTTGGTCTCTGATCTCTCATTTAAGGTGACTTCAACAAGTTTTACGATTTCATGCTAGCAGCGAAACATGTATGGGATGGGAGGGGATTTACAATTACGTGAGACGTGTAGATTAGATCTTATACACTTAAACCTGTGCATATGCGTATCTTTTCAACACCTCAATCTTCGTTAACAATTTAATTTACATTAGAAACCAAAAATTCTTGCCGAGCTAAGATGGTACTATCTGCTTATCTGGTTTGAATTGCCGAACCTAGAACATAAATAAATCTAGTAATTATAGCTCCTCCTTTGCCGCCGCACTAACCCCATTCTCATCCTCGTCCTCGTCGTCATCGTCCCCCCATTCGCTAATGAGACTCTTCACCTTGTCTGCACTGGCTGCATCACCAACCGTCGTTCCCTCAGCAGCTGTTTCTAGAGTCGCCTTTTCTGCGGCTAATGCATCCCCGCTCTTGTTTGGTATATCCTCTACGGTTTCGTTTTCTTCCGTCGACCTTGTGTTATCATTATTCTTGGCTGTATTTTCCGCTTTTGTCCCATCACCCTCCAATTGGTCGGCGGACATCTGAGTAGGCGGCACCAGATCATCCTCGTTCGTCACTGCACTATCTAAGGCTGGAGCTGACGACTCTGTCGTGGAATCTTCCGCAGGTTGTACAATGCTCTTTTCCGAAATAGGTTTCTCGGCTTCGGCTATTAATTCATCTAACAGCTCTTTGCGTATGTTATCGGCCTCGAGATGCACCTCATCTTCGCCCTCAGCGGCAGCTACCACTTCGCTTGATTCCGCCTCAGAATCGGCGATGGCTGCATCTTCCTTGATAAATTCTTCTTCCTCATTTTCAATCTCTTTTTCTTTCTTGATCGTGACGACTGACTTTGGATCCTTGTCGTCCGCCGCTTCCAAGTCTACATCCATTTTCTCGGCTTGGTTATTTATACTAGCGACTGGGACTTCACCTTCTTCGGCACTGGTGACCGAATCCTCACCAGTTTTCTCTACTGTATGATCTTCATGTCCTTTATGAAGAGACTGAAGAGCCAAATCAATGTCGTCCTCTTCCTCATCATGAACTGTTGATTCTGAATGCTTTGCGGCTAGTTCGGACGCAAGCTCCGTGGTTGCGGGCTTGTCATCGACATCGTCTTCGTTCTCATCCTCGGTCCAGTCTCCGGTCAGCTCCTTAAGTTTTTCGCTGATGTCATCTCGTGACTTTTCCGATTTGGGCTGTATATAAGAAATAGTTAGAGAAGCACTTGTATACAAAAAGTTTGTCAAACTCACCTCCTTGTTGCTCTGCTCCTCGGACTCGGCAATTAGGTTCTCAGCCCATTCCAGATTGTCCATGGACTCCTTGCTCTCATCTGCAATGCTCTTTTTGGCGCTCTCCACAGAGTCAGCGGCAGCCAGCTCGCTGTAGATTTGGCTGTCATCATACTCCTCCTCGGTGCCGGCCAGGGATTTTTCGTCGGCCTCCTGTTTCACGGGTTCCGCATCTGGCTCACTAAGCACCATAACCACGCCACCGGCGGCAGCGCCTGCTTGCTGCTGGTTGAGCTGTGAAAGGATCTCCTTGCGCTGCTCGTCTGTAAGCTCCACCTCATTACCATCGGCACCCACAAACTTCACCTCCTGCTGCACTTGCTCGTTTTCCACCTCTTCCTCCTGCAGTTGCTCCTGCTGAGCTTGCTGTACTGCGATGGCACTAGTGGCTGGCAAACTGATGTCGGAAAGAATTCGCACTTTGCCAGTTTGCTCGGGTTCTTGTTCTTCTCCTCCTTCGACCTCCTCCTCTTCCTCGTCTTGCGAACCGAGAAACTCCTCGTCCGTTTCATCGATGATGCCATCCTCCACGGCTTGCTCTTTGTGGTAGCTTCTCATGTGCCTGTACAACTGAAGCTCTTGCTCGAACACCTTGTTGCAGTAGATGCACTGCTGCTTGTTGTCGTCGGTGTGCGCCTCGTTGATGTGGCTCTCCAACTCGCCCTTAGTCAAATACGACTGGTTGCAAAGCGCGCACTCGGCGAAGGTGTACAGCAGCGACTTGATCTGGTGCTCTATATACATATGGAAATGCAGCTCTCGGTTGTTGCCCGATCGCCATCCGCAGTGCTCACAGAGTGCCGGGTCAATGGCCTCCTTGTGCGTATTGATCAGATGGCGTCGGAAGCCCCGGTACGACGGAATGCTGATGGGGCGTCCGTTCACGCCGCACCGTAGGCACAGCCAGGGACCTTAAAACATATGAAATAAATTCATTGTTAACTTTTATTATTAATGCACAGTTAAAAGTAATGGCACGTATTTCGCAACAGTTTGTTATAAAATACCTTTCATCCAAATATAACCAAACGAATTAACTCACCTGTAGTGTTCTCGGCACCTTGGGCAATCAAAGCATGCATTGTCTTACTGTCAATTCGTCGCTTCTGGGCTGCGGCGGCATTGACAGGTGGATTCGGCGCTGCCCCTTGCGAGGCGATAGACTGCGTAGGCGCGCTCTTTTGCTGAGAACCGCTCACCTTCTGCTGAGCGGTGATCATGGGCGCGTTCTTGTCCGCCTTGAACGACACATGCAGCTTCTTGTGGGGCGATGTCGAGGCGGATGACTGATTCGCCATTACTGGTGATCCCCGCTTGACCGTCGCCGGAGCAGGCTTTTCTGCGGACGCTGGTGGTGTGTTCGGCATAATCTTCAGTTTGATGTTCTTGTGACCCTTAACAATGTGCGGATATTGGCGCAGGACTTCGGCAATGATCTTGGTGTGATTCAGCTTGGCATTGGAAGAATCCTTAACAATTATCGTGGGCGTCTGGCTGGGCGAGTCCTGCTTCAGGATAATGGTGGTGGATCCATGCTCAAGCTGGGTCTGTGTGCCCTGCGGTGACTGCTGCTTGGACGTAGATGGCTGTGGCGGCAAATCATCGTCATCATCGTCCCCGGCATGGACATCATCGTACAACATGCCTCCGTCATATTCAGGATCGTGATCACCGTATTCCGCGGCTATTTGCTTACGCATTCGCTGTTGCTCGGCAAACTCCTTTACCTCCTCCAAACTAGGCTTCTTAGAGGGCGGCGAAAGCAGGCTGGTCTGTGCCGGTCTTTTATTATTGTTGTATCCCTTGCGCAGCTGCTCAAATGGCGAAGTTGGCTCTTGCTTGATAACGGTGCTCTCCGCATACTGTGAGCGATTTGTGCCACCCGAGGTGCGGATAATTGCGTTGCCAGTAGTTCCACGCTGTGTGTTGGCTCTCTGCATGGTGGGTGTGCCCACACTCCGAGACTGCGGGGAAGGACCTAGGACGCGCTGCTGGGGAAGGCCCGAACTGGGCTGTCCAACTGTGCGCCTGCGGATGCCCTTGGGACTAGGCGGCTAAAAGGCATAAGCAGTTTAAAATAAATAGGTAGGTGAAGATGAACAACTCTACTTACCCTCTGCTGGCGATTCACGTTTTCCATAGTACGACGATGTGCCTCCAGCAACTTAAGCAGTACCGTCATGTTCATCTCCTTGGCGGTCCGCAGAAGCTTGCCGTACATTTTGAGTTCGAATTCCAGGGTGCCCGTATACATAAAGTTAACAATGGGCACCACCACGTCCGCCTGGAACTCGTTGGGCATGATAAGGGCATCGTCAACAATCTCGCACGTCTGCTCCAGCACATTAAAGTAGTCAGTACAAGCGCTGAGAACCAGACGATGCACCTTTAGCTGTGAATTGTCCCGAAACTGGAGTGTCAAATCGCAGTAGTCCGTCTTGTTGAAAAAGTTCTGCAGCTTCTGCAGAAAGAAGACCCCCCAGTTGTCCACCTTCACGGATTTGACTTCACCCATATCGCCGGTGCTGCTGTGTCCTGTGTGCCGTGATCTTGGCAAGTGCCCGTGCTCTCCGTTTCCGTATCGTTAGCCTCCCGTAGTTTCGCTTGCTCTGGCTTCGAGGCGCAACTGTACTCCGGCAGGGGTAAGAAATCGAGAGATGCGAATAAGGACACGATACAAAGCAGAAGGAAACCCGAGAAAGAAGCAACACAGAAACAATTAATAATAGTGGTATTTCCCGACGTTTTTTTCAAATGGACGCCAATTGATTTTCGGTTATTTGGTTTATTTTGTGCTGCCGCCACGGCGCGAAATGCAACTCGCAGATATCGATATACGCCTGTATACGTGTGCCTGCGTCGCGTGTGTGTGAGTTGTGCGCGTCGTCAGGCTTTCTTTTATTATTTCTTCTTAATTGCCAATTGTGTGTAGCCCAATAATGTTTTTGCTTAAACTACGTCAAACATCTTTCGTTTGGTAGCATTTATTTGGGCCCTTTTGGCGCGTCTCTTTACCACACACAACAATGGGTTTTTGGGGGACATAACTTCACTTTGGCACTGGCGGTCTTTTAATAACATCTCTTTTAATTGAAAACACCTTTATCGCATCAGCAACGGACATTTGCTCTTTTAATACATACATTTATTCGTATTGCACACTACTTTTGCCGGACAAATTTTAATTTTTTTCCAGAGTCAGGTCGCCATATTCTTTTCCATTCATCGTGACAGGGTTGCACTCGGCACTTATCGATGTGTATGCGATAACTGCAGTTCCAGTCATGGCGTTGTTAAGGTGACGAAAAGCCGGAAATTTTTAAAATGTTTAAATAGTAAAATAATTCATTCTTAATGAATTATGCCTACCATACACATCTCTGATATCAGAAGGACACCTTTTAATAAACTTAATTTAAGCGTTCTAAAATATATTAAAACGAACTCACTTATACACAAAGAGATTAAAAAAATACCTTCTAATTATCAAAAAAAAAATGTGACGTCATTTACGTGTGACATTTAATTGCGCCACCCTACTAAGTTATCAAAATATTAATTTAAAAAACGGGTGGGCAGCCACCACGAGAAGTTAAAATACCTTTCGTTTCTTTTTCAATTTGATTGAACCGAACAGGATGAGTGGCCGGAACCGGGGGAAAGGCAAAAGAGGCGCAGGACCCTATCGCAATGTCAAAGCGAATCACAATTGCGCTCGCAGCTTTGCACAGCAGGCCAACGAATTGGCCAGCAGTAGCGAAGGCGACAGCTCGGATTCGGAATCTTCGGGACCGGAGGCCAAGGATGATCTCGGTCAGCCGCCGGAGTTCGCGGTGGCCATGTGGGACCTTAACCACTGCGATCCGAAGAAGTGCTCGGGCAGGAAATTGGCTCGTCTGGGACTGATTTCGAATCTACGACTGGGCCAGAAGTTTTCCGGACTTGTACTTTCGCCTGTGGGTCAGTTGTGTGTCAGTCCTCTGGATCGAGATGTGGTATCCTCCTCGGGAGTGGCTGTGATCGACTGCTCGTGGGCCAAGCTGGACGAAACCCCCTTTGGAAGGATGCGTAGCCCATATCCGCGCCTGCTACCTTTTTTGGTGGCCGCCAATCCCATAAACTACGGCAAGCCCTGTAAACTTAGCTGCGTTGAAGCTATTGCCGCCACTCTGTACATCTGTGGATTCCCGGAGGAGGCCCGCTGGTTTCTTGGCAAGTTTTCCTGGGGTCACGCCTTCCTCGAACTGAACGACAAGCTCCTAAATGCGTATGCAGCCTGCAAGAGCAGCGATGAGATTGTGAAGGTGCAGAACGAGTATCTAAAGCAGGAGCAGCAGGAGCGGGATAAGCCCAGGGATCTGCGCGACTTCTATCCTACCAGCAGCAGCAGTAGTAGCGAGGCAGAAAGCGAGGACGATAATGGGGTGGCGGAAACAAATCCGAATAAGTAATTTTTACAAGGTGCTGACATTTTATTAGCATTACTATTAGCTTATTACAAAACATTGTTACTTGTGTTTTAATTTACAAACCAGTTGTTAGGAGCAACTATCAAATTATTGCAAACTGTTTGGATAAAATATTTACTTCAAGTCAAAGAGAGATGATTGCCTACTGAGCATTTCGCACGTATTCGGGGTCCACATTGATGAAGTTGCTCATACTGAAAAACATGGCGCTATTCTTTACCAGGAACTTAAGGAAATCCTGCAGGTGTACGAGCAGATTCTGCATGGACTGTTGGTCCAACGCAGAATAGCTGAGCATTGATCCCAGCCGCACAAACAGGCGTAGCAGGTGAAAGGATCCGTACAGCTCGGACAGCGGTGTGTCCGGATGTTTTTGCATTACATCCGCGTACTGGGTGCGCTCGAATTTGTACAGCAACTGGGAGCCGAGCATTACATTAAAATATTCCACAATTCCATCAAGAACATCATTTATGGCCACCTCCTTGCTGGCGCTAGTCGACTTTACTGACTTCTTGTGCGCCAAATACTGCTCGGAGATTTGTTGCACTGTTACCTTGGCGGGCAGCTCCAGCAGCTTGTGCTCCCTCACCACCGCATACCAGTCATCCGTCAGATAGTGCTTCAGTTCGTCAGGTATCTTGATCTTTACCTCCAGTTTGGCGGCGTAGGCCTCCTCACTTTCTACGCAAGGAGCGGGCTCCGTGGTGGGAGTGGATGGGGTGGTGCTGGACGCTGGTGCCTTGTCTGCCACATCGCTGCCTGTTAGGGATGGCCTCTGTTCGCTCATCCTTTTCTTTTTCGGCGCCACCGGGGTGACTGCCTCGTCCTCTGTGGTCTCATCATCTTTTTTCTCACTGGGCGTTCCAGGTCGTACCGTGGCCGCCGTCGTCTGTGTGGACTTGCGGTTGGCCCTGCTCGTCGTCGTGGTGCCAGTGCTGTTGGTGGTTGTGCTGCTAGTGCTCCCGGCGTCCGATTTGTTGCCCGGAACTGTCGGTATGCTGCTAGCGGTCGATTGCGAGGTGTTGCTATCCTTGGATGGCGTTGAGGCACGAGATTCGTTGCGCATCTGCTCCATTTTCTTGGCCTTGGCGCTGCCTATTACACAAAAAGGGGTTAAGTCGATGACTTTCGGAACTGCACCTGAACCCACCTTTCTTATTGTCCTTCTTGGAGCGCTCACCACACTGGCGCGCCAGCTCCTGTCGGCGCTTGACGTTGTCATCGTTGTACTTCAGCACTCGGCTCTCGGGCACCCACTCGTCCCAGCTAAAATTGAGAAGGTGTTTGTTGTAGATCAGCTTCTTGCGGATGGATTTCCTTACTTTTTGCTCCAACCCGCGTAGTGGATGTAGTACTCAACCGGCGTCGCATCTGGCTTTGTTTTCAGCACCTTCGCTTCGTAAATGAGCGGGCCGTGAAAACACAGCACCCGCTCCCCTGTGAAAGGCGTCAATATAATTAATGCAATTTGGCCTGGGTCGTTGTCTGGTGCTTACCATCTACAAACAGCGTGTTTGCATCGGTCCCCGTGCTATAGTTTTCCACTTTAGCGGGTTTTACTTCTCCCATTTTATTTTATTGCAAAATAGAAAATATTAGGACAAGTGTGACCGTGGAGACACGCATGGGACTATCGGATAGTAAAAAATACTGAAGGTTATCGATGCATTACAGGGTATTATTGTTTTGGTATATTTCAACGCAGATAAAATTAACAATTGTTTATATTTATTTATTTATGACTATGACCATTGTTCAACAAGCAAAATGTGTGCTTTAAAAAAGTGTTTATGTTCAGGAAACATAATGTCTAGTGTTTTGCTGTCGACGGCAGACCCTCTTCCTCCCAGGGACGTGGACCGCGTTTGTTTTCCCAGTGTTCTATGTCCACGGACTTGACTTTGTCGTACTCCGACTCCAGCGTTACCTCCTGGCGGTTCTTCATGCTCACGCCGTACTTTTTCATCTCATCCGGCGTCACCGGTTGCTTCTTGGTGTACTGATATCTAGAAAGGTTCAAAAGCTCAAGGCTCTGATAAGGATATCCGGGAGTGTTCATTATACTAACCTGAGGTTCGAGAACTGCTGTAGTCCGAAGGAGCCGGCCACAATCATGATGAGGAAGGGTATGCCATATTTAAACGATTTTCGTTTGGTATAGTAGTTTAATTTATCTATGAACGACATTGTTGTTATGACATTTTGTTAAGTGTGACCTTGCTACCGTCTGCTCCTTTGCCGGCTAAATATCGATATTCTTAAGGGTTGCAAACGAAGTTATGTTTAACATAAGCAGAATATCTAACAAAAATAATCGGAATTGGTTTCAAAATGTTTAAAAAGTTAATGGTTTTGTATATTGTTTATACCAGGGCTTTGAGCCCAGACAAGTCCGACTATAGTTCGGTTGAATATTATTTACCTGGTTCTTCAATGTGATAATTTAATTGATTTAATTTATTTTTCATTAAATAAAAGTTTTAATTTTATTTAAATGGGCTTAAAGTATTTTAATTCGCTTTGAGTATTTAATTCGCTTAGCATGAAGAAAAAATCATCCTGTTGGGATTTGACTTTAATTATTATAAAAATCAATCAAGTCGTAAACTGTTTATTGGTTTTACAATTGTTGTTAGACATGATTAAATTAACTTACATATATATTCGGAATTAAAATAATTAAAGGTAATAAATAATGTATGCTTGTGAACAATAAAATTTTATTAATATTGCAAAAGCTAATTTCAGCTAAAATGTTCGTTAATTCGTTAGTAATCTCCTCCAAAGATCCGATTTCTGAATGAACGTGAACGTCACAAAAGTTACATTAAAACAACATTTTTAGAAACATCTTTTCTAAAATTTCACCCCCTAACCCTAAAATGTCTCTTACACTAATAGAATATATTTCTAAAATTCAGTTTTCTTGTTTGTCAGCCTCACAACTTATTATTTGCGGCTTGCCTGACTGTCAAGTCCGTAGCGCTGGCGAATAAAACGTTTACGTATTGCCAAAAAATGATGTTGCTTCCATGCTCACTGGCGATAGCTAAACTCCCTGTGTCGTTATTTAAAATTCGGGCACATACAAAGTTTGTTAATGAACAATATATACATATATATATAATATATATCGTATTCGTTAAAAAGTATGTAACAATACATATATATTATTGATCGGGATTATCGAGATATCGGCATTTTTATTTTTTAAGATTAGCATATAAATTTATTAAAACGTTGAACAACCAACTTAATGGCTATAAAAGAAACAGGTAACAGAAACAGAAAACTTAACAGGAATGATCAACAATTTTTATAGCACTAGGACTCGAGACGCGCGATTTAAACAGCGATTTTGAATTATTTTAAATCGTTTTAATTTTCAAAAGTTTACTTTGCCACACACTGAATTATTTTTAATGTCTGAAACTACACATATCTGTATGTCTATGTCAATCGCTTTGTGCAGCTGTCGTGTCGTCGTCTATTGAAATAGTTGCCCTTGAGTCGAAATTAAAAGATTTGGGTGCCCTGCCAAGTGGAATTTCTAAAAATTTATAAGCAATTGTTTTCCGGCGCACGCCTTTTAGCCATCATTTGCATTAGACTTGGTGATAAGTTCAAGGTCCCGATGTCTCTTTAATTCTTAAATAATTGACACTGACAATGTTAAAGAGCGCCAAAACGCTGTTCACATGCACATGCACACGACATTCGATCCGGATCACCTTGGCCAATTGCAGGCTTGGGCAAGGCAAGTAGCTCGCAGCGAAGATTTCCTTTTGGTGCCCAGAGCTCCAACCAGTTCGCGTTCGCTTCATTCACAAGGAGATGGCGCCAATTGAGTCATCAGGGGCCCCTGAGACTGGGCAAGTCCCACACACCCCAAACACCTCCCCCACAGATTATATTTCATTTTCCGATGCACCCTACTCTCGGTCCAATGAGCATTTAGCGGCCTCAAGACTGACTGATCTGCATGGAAAGAAAATTAATACTATGTCATGATCAATTTCTTCGACTTATATACATAAATATCATGGCCTATTTAGTTATAATAAATAGTTTATAATTAGTATACATTAATATATTATGGTTAATATATTATATTGATAAGCTTTCAGAGTTTTTTACGAAATAGATTCATTTAATAATTCGTCATTTAAAATATATTGATCCTCTTTGACTTTATACCAGTATTTTCTTTATAAGTTATAAAACTGATACCAAATCAAAGTCAATAATAAGAAAATATGAACATTTTTCTCTAAAACATTATTTTAATTTTTTGTTTTGCCAAATAAATTTCCTTTTTTTAACATTCAACTCCATTTAAAAATATTCCCATATTGAATCTTAAATGTTATCATATATTTTAGCTGCGCAATTGAATTTTAAGCCGATCTGTTTAATTTCTGTGTAGCCTTTCGTCTGAGTGATATGCTGGTCAGTCGTCTATGCCCCACAGGCCTGATTGCACTTTTCCAAGCTATTTTCGCCAAATATGGTCGCGATTTTTCTAACAAGATTGTGCACTTGTCTGAGCCAAGCTGAGCGCTACCACTCATGAACTTATTTAATTCACGTATATTTTGGAATTATGAAAACTTTGGTTTTCCATAACTAACTCATGTCAACAGCTCTGGCCATGATTTCGTTTTCGTATTTAGCAAGTTGCTCAGACTGATTCGCTTTTTACAATGTTTTTTTTCAAGGGTCTTTCTCATGCCTATATCTTCTTCACTCATGATGCTATATATGAGTTGTGTTAGTATGAAAATATATTGATCTAGTTTTTTTCTTTCAAAACTTTTTGTTTTGAATGAAAACAATTACGTCATTCAGTGGGTGTTGCTTGATTTAATTTTAGACGTTTTCCAAGATAAAAAGGAAAGAAATAAATACATATGCTGATATTTAATTAGCTTGTAGCTTGGTTTTTTTAGGTAGGATATCGAAAATATCTATGGAGCTCAGATATTAAATTCTCATTAAAAATGATCATTAAGATATGCTCAAAGAACTAATAACCAGGCACAGATTCAAGTCATTATATAAAATCGATTTCAAGTTGAATTTAAGTTTAAAATAAATATTAAATAAAAAAAAAAGTGGGATTGAATAAATATCTACTAATTCAAAATATGGCAAGACAATATCTAGTTTATTAAATTTTTTTAATGCTCAATAAAATAAGATAAATTGGTGTGATTAAGAGAAAAGCAATCTACAAGGCAAATATACCTCCAGATCAGATCTACCACGATCTTGAGGAAATTGCATCGCAGCAATATTCACGTTTTGCGTTTAAAAACGCATGAATCATGGGTGCGTTTTCTTTAGAGACAGTTACAAAAAGTATACTTTCATATGTGACATTAATGATTGCCAACAAAATGTTTTCCGTTCGCAGACATGGCGTTAAAAAATCTTAAGAAATCGTTTTAATATATAGAACAAAATATAATATTTTGTAGACCTATGGTGGAAATACATATAACTACGTGAAAAAAGATTTTTGGCATATCAATAACTGAAAATTAAAAATAGAAGTTGAGAACATCGAAAAGCAAAACAAAACGATCCACGAACACCCATACACTCTTATCGGGAAAAGAGAAATGATTGTCTAAGTATTGGAATCATTTTGCAATGGCCAAAATACTGGGTCAACAAAGCTTTTTAAAATACGGGGAAATATTCAAAAATAGGCAGTATGAAATTGAGCGATTCTAAATGGCTGATCACCAATACACGCGCAGGGAATAAGTAAAGGCCTCAAAGAAAGGATCGCGAAAGAGAGGCAGAGAGTGAAAAGAGAAAGGCGCAAGCGCCGGCTTTTCTTGTGTGAGAATAATTGGATATATGTATTGTGTATTCTGCGGTGCTTTCGGTTACACTGGTAGAACAAAAAAGAAAATTGTAATGCATTAAAATAGTTGTTGGAATTTAATGTTAAACTCCGTTAAAATTATTTACTTTAATTTCAAGAAAAGTTGTCAGTCTTGTAAAATAAAGGTAAATAAACACAAAAAAACGTTTTTTCATAATTGTTTCTTATATTAATTAATATTTATTTATAATATATTTTTATGAGATCATAATTTGAAATTTCTTAGCAAGGTTAGTTGTATTAAAACTGTGCAAAAGTACTATAAAACTTTTTCCCATTCTTGACGAAACTAAGTCAAGAATTGCTCTGTTGAATTAGATTTATAAGGTCAAAGATTATTAAACATTTTTTGTAAACACTTGCTTCTGAGAACTACATTTAAATACATAATATTCTTTAATTTAAATATAAATCTAATAATTTAAGTCTGAAAAGGGAAAACAGTAAACATAGGAGTTGAGTAGTTTTTGAATTATTTCATTTTCAGTTCTGGTCACGTTTTAATGAATGTTGAACTTAACCTTTACCGGTTTCGCGCAGTGTACAAGTTCACACATTTAACTCGCACAATTCGTTGCTTCTCCTCTTGACGTAAATTGAGAGCCGACTGCAGTTCCAAAATAAACGCAAGCATCCGCAACATCGCCTCGCTTTTGGCCGAAAAGTACGCGCTCTCTTTCACAGACACTCACCCACACAAACGCACCCGTGCGGCGGCTCACACGTACACACACCAGCGCAGACCGCTCGAAATCGACCAAGAGGCGAGCATCGAACGTCAACATATTGAATAAATATTTTCAGTTGAACATCACAATCCGTTCAAGTCGCGGATAACTCCGAATAAAAGTTTTGTAAGTAAAAAAGGAATACGTTAACGTTAATCACCAAAAAAAGAAAAAATATCAAGGAATTTCAAGTTAAAATCACCTGTTGAGTGCTTAATAAATAATTTCAACTGTGCTAGAATTCGATTTTAATTGGGAAAAAGGATCGAAATCAACCAAAAATATAATTATATAACCGTTCCTGAAAATATAACTTTAAATCAATCAAAGTGCTGTGCAGTTTTAAACTTGAACCAACCGCAAGTATCGAAAAATAATTTAACTATTTTCCGTCACAATTAAAACCCCAAATAGAGGTTAAGCACCTTTGCAGTTTGAGAGTACTAAGAATAACTATTCTCTGGGCCTTGTCAAGTTTGTCTGCTAACCGCAAGTCGCTATATAGGGTTTCTACAAAATGCAATCCATGAGATATATAAACATTGTCAGTGGGCAGATAAGGTAATCTTAAATTTTAGTGGGCTTTAATTGAGAATTATGCGAGGAAA